TTGTGCATTTACACATGGTAGGGTTAGTTTCAGGCAGGGGGGCAGGAGGACTCCGTTGTGGGTGGGTGCCCAGTGCTGTTGCTACCACCCACCAGCGCATCAAGAACATGTGCTCACGCACGCCGGTGCACATCAGACCATCCAAAGACACATGAGAATTCAGGCACATGAGTGCAATCAACCACTTGCATGCCATGCCTCCCTCCTGCTCTCCCACTTGCCCTCTCCATTCCCTTCAACTCCCGTTCCTCGTCTGCCCCTTGCTGTCTGCTGTCTTCAACACTTCCCCTGGTTTCCCTCCGCCCTTCTTCCCTTCCCCTCCTCCCCCCCTGACCCTTGTGTGTGTGTGCATGTGTGTGCAGCGATGTGTTTGAGCAGTCGCCGTTCTTGATATCCCCAGAGGAGGCCATGTCCGCTGAGGACAAAAGGTGTGTGTCGTGCCGTGCCGTGTCGTGCCGTGCCGTGTCCACGCCTCTTTGCACATGTGGCCTTGTTAGTAGAACGTTGTAGTCGTTTGTCCAGAGGAGGTCGTGTCTGCTGAGGATAAGAGGTGTGTGTCGTTGTGTCGTGCCGTGTCGTGCCGTGCCCACGCCTCCTTGCTCATGTGCTCGCTTCGCTTCACATTGCCACCATGCTCGCTCCCCTCCCTTGCTGCGACGCTACACAGCACATGTGGCCAGGAGCGCACTAGCATACCCGACTCCCTGTTTCCCTCGTCTCTCCCTTCGGATCCATCGCCCAGATGCATACCGCACATCGCACACACCAATCCCACTGTTTCTTTCTCCTCCACTCACCCCCCCCTCCCCCCCCCCACCCCTCTTTTCCCCCTCCCCGTTCGCCCGGCCATGGCGTGTGCTGCACCCATGGCAGCAAGCTGGAGGAGTTTAAGGAGCTCAACATCGCATATGGCCAGAGCTCGCAGGTATGCATTGCCATGCCATGCCCCGCCATGCCATGCAACGCCATGCCACGCCATACCCTGATATGCCATGCCACCCTGTGCCTTTTCATTCCCGCAGTGTATGTGAGTGTGCTTCCTTTCCAGTTCGCATCCTCTCCACTCCTGTCTGCTCTGTCTCCCCTCCATTCCTCTCTCTGTGCTGGCCGTCACCCGTCCGTATCTTACCTGCTGCTTCTCCCATCTACTCCCTCTTTCACCCCTTCCACACTCCCCTCTGCGTGCCTGTTCGTCTGTGTGTGTGCCACCAGGTGCCAGTGACAGTGGACGCAGTGGGCACCCTAGTGGCCTGGGAATTCAACCTCACTTACGGCAAGGTACGATTGTTGTTCCCGATTGTCCTGTTCGCTTGTCCTCTGTGCCTTGATCCTGGTTGGCTTGTGCTTGTCCCACCGCACCGCACCACACTCACACCACCCTGTCCTGTGTGTGCCATGGCGCATGGCTCTGTGTACCAGGATATCGGCTTCAACGTGGAGTACACTGCAGAAGACGGCACCAAAACGGTCAGTGCTCACTCTCCCACCCTGACCCTCACCCTCTGGTGAACGCACCGCTTACCGCCCCCGTTTTCCTGACCCCTTCTAAGATCAAATCTTTCTTCTGGTGTTTCCTCGCCCCCTTCTCATTCTTCGTTTCATGTGGCATTGGAATTATCCTCCCGACTTTCCCCACTCTTCTCTCATCATCCGGCCTCTGGTCTGGGGGGGTCAAATCCTTACTATTACTATGATCAACCCTGCAGAACGTCCACCCACCTCCCTACCCCCCCCTTTTTCACCGCGTCCTTTCCTACGTGCACCTCTCGCTTCCTAGTCCACCTAGTAATACACATGGGCCACTCACATAACAAACATCCCCCCACAAGTCACTCCTCGATCCCTGTCTTGGCCACACATTGTTCTCATCCGTGTTGCCTTGCACTGCCGCTGCCTCTCTGTGTGTTTGACTTTCTCCAGGGCATGGTGCCATACCAAAAAGTGGACAAGCATGAGGTGCGTGTGTATTGCTCCCTGGATGCTTCATCACGTGCTCATCCTTCCGTTCCTGCACTGCCATCCCCTGGTCGTTCTGATTGATCCTTAATCCTAGGCACAGCAAGGGAACTTGTTTCCTCCATACTGATTGATATCTTCAACAGTTTCGTCTGTACATCCATTGTGGAGCCCTTTCATCTGCACTTTCCTCTGCCTCCTCTACCCCCTCTCTGACCTGTGCTACTTCTATTTCCATTCCTCTGCCTGCCCTGCATTGTGGGGTGCTGTGTGTGCTGTGTGCTGCGTGTGCTGTGTGGTTCAGGGGAGCTTCAATGCGCCTGCAGTGGGCTCGTATACCATCACATGGGACAACACCTACTCCCTCCTCACAAAGAAGGTCATACCCCCCACCTGCCCACCTTTTTCTCGTCCCTCTCCACACCACACATACACACACACGCAGGGGAGACCTACACACACTTCCTCTGCTCTCCCTCATGTCACTGCCTTGCACTCCCCTCTCTTCTCTCCCCCAATCATGGTAGTCCTTTTCTGTCTCCCCCTGTCCCTGTCCTGTTCCTATCTCTCTGTCCCTGTCTTTTTCTCCATGTAAGTGTATCAGACTGTGCGATACAAGGTGGGAGCCATTCCCCCAGTGGAGACAGAGGAAGAGTTGAAAGCAGAGGAAGCTCTGTCACACCCAGAGAAGCAAGGCGATGCCAGCACACCGACTGCTGCTGATGCAGATGCAGGTGTGGCTGATGCAACACCTGCTTCAGAAGCTGACACTGCCACCACTTGAACTACTGTACCATGCTGACTATATTGGTCCACAGTTGAGTTTTTTCACATAGACTGGTTAGCACAGGCGAAATTGATGGTGTAGTACACATTGAATTTGGGGTTATGGTGCAGCATTGTGTACTTTGCCCTTGTTCTGTAGCAAAGATCGTTGAATGTCATTAGAGCTAGCGTATGGAGTTGCTTTGGAAAAACACTTGCATTTTCACTTAGTGTGAAACAGAGGTTTAAGTGAACGTACTAAGATGTATTGTGAAAACCTTGTACGGGGAGGTGTCTATATAACGGATTTTTCAGTGAGATGTGTTCCCGGCCAGTACGGCTCGCTACCACAACCACAATAATCACGTAATTATTTGTCTGCCCGTCAACATCACGTATATCAAGTGAAGCGGCTTTCTGGTTCAACACTACCACTTGACACATTCACTGTTCCATTCACCCGGCCCTCCTAATTTCCGCTTTGACATGTGTTGTAAATTTCATGTCCAAAATACACCTAACCACCGCTATTTTCTTTCGGTCTATTTTCAACCCCACTTGCACAAGTGGGGTATGCACCCTTTCTAAATCTTTGACCGAGGGTTGTGTGGGGCATCATTAAATTTTAGCGAGAGTCTGTTCCAGATCCCCGAAGAGAGTACTGTAGAAGTGGCGCTATGGATTCAGATTCGCATAATGAGTTTAAACTTCGAGCATTAGGCGTCATTCATAGCCCCAGTCATCTAAGTGTCGAACTGAAATAGTCGAAAACGTGCAGGGTAACTTTGAAACGCGAGATTAGTGGGTTGGGTTTCCCCTTGAAAATAGCGGTGGTCAGGTGTAGCTGCATCTCTCAAACCTGTGGTGGGCCTGGTGCCAACCAGACATGATCTGTGGCCGTTCCGACGGAGTGATCCTGCCGAACCTATTGCTGAACTGCTGACAAAAAGAGGGCTGTGTCAAGCGTCGGGCAAACTCTGACACCCTCCACGCGATTCGTCCGACAAATCAAACAATTATGCGAAGAGTGTGTCTCAATGTTTGCAATCGCTCATCATCCAACCCAACCATTGCACAACTTTGGTAAACCGTTGTAGAACATACTGCAACTTATTAAGCCGCACTCGCACCAACCCACTCGGGGAACGCCCTCTGCGAAACAGGCTACTGTTCTGATAGGTCGGTGAACTGTAGTGGCGCGTCTCGCAATTATCGCACTGCTTGATCCGGTGGGGGAGGGAGACAGCTGCGACGCCCATCCATCGCCGTTGGCGAATGCACGAAACCCAGGAACCAGTCAGCCCAGCACAGCACGAACAGCTAGCGTGCGGTTCAGCACCACGTTCACCACCACCACACACCACAAGCACCAGCACACAATCAGCCCCAACCACACACATCATCTCACATCTCACACCTGTGCGGTGGAGGGAATTGGAAAACCGTACTATCGAGAGTGTTTCAAGGGTGTGCTTCACTCGAGTGACCTGCAGTGGCCAGCTTCAAAGGCGCACCACACAGCCGAGTCGACTGCATTGCCGAGACCGTGACCTTCGCGCAAGGTTGCCGCATTACACATTCCTCTCGAACCGTGCTAAAACGCCATGGCGTGTCGCTGGCATGGCAGCAGGCGATTCGTCTTCCACGCGACAGTAGCACTAGTCGCTGTTTTAGCACTAACGCCATGGAACGAGGAGCCGAAGCGCGCTGGAGGCGGTGTCAGGCTAGCCATGGGGCAGGCAGAGAGCCCGCTGATTGGTCAAGGCGTTGACCCGTTCACGTCGAACGTGGTGTCCGAGCCGGTGCCGGTGTATCTCTCCGTTATGCTACGGAAGCTCATCACCGTTGATGGTAAGATAATGTGGAGGACGGTAAGATTGCGCAGAGTGCGTCCGTCTGTGAGACACAATATATGTCGTCGCCTTTGAGAATTCTCAAATGCGGAATTCCTGATAGGCTTGCAGAGTATCCGTTACTATCTCTTCGTTTTCTGTTCCTCGCAATTCCACGTCGCCCGCCGATGCGCGCGCCATCGTCGATTCAGCGGCATCCCGCGTCGCGATTCTGCTGGCTGACTTGCGTGTCGGGCTTGTTCATACGCCCGCTTGTACTACAGATCGCGTCGTCTAACTGAGAGCCCCTTCAACATCGGAGGTCCCCGCATTTCATTCATGTCTTATTTACACAAATCAAGTATTAAACGTTTACCTGCTAAGTCCTCTCCTCTCCTTTCCCGCCTCCCCCGCCTCTCGCGGCCCCCCGCATTCCTCCCCCGTGCGATGCGCGCAGAGCTCAAGTACAGCTACAGCGCGTACTTTCAGGTCGTCACGTCGTGGCGCGATCCCCGAGGTCAGTCGTCGTGCGCTGTCCTTCACAGCGCCGCGCTCGCAAACTACCTTTCCCTCGTTCGGACCCCCATTGCCTCTCGTTCCCCCATTGCTGCTCGCTCCCCCATTGCCGCTCGCTCCCCCATTGCTGCTCGCTCCCCCATTGCCGCTCGCTCCCCCATTACCGCTCGCTCCCCCATTGCCGCTCGTTCGCCCCATCGCCCCTGCCGATCGATCCTTCCCCCTGCGATGCGCCGCTGCATCGTGAACGCGCACGCGTTTCGTGTCGTCGTCCGCCCGCCCTGCACCGCTCGCGTGCCACTTTATCCGGTGCATGCATACACTCGTACCTCTGAATTGCAAGCCTATAAAAAACCCACCCTTGTGTGTCCGCGACCACTCACTCCCCCCGTCTCCCCTCCTTTCCCCTCATCCCCTCAACCCCTCGCTCCCCTCCTTCGCCGGTGTGACATCATGCCCTCTCTCCCTTCCTCTCCCTTCCTCTCTCTTCCTCTCCCCTCTCCCCTCTCCCCTCTTCTCCCGGTCGCCAGCTCCCCGGGCGCAGTGAACAACACGTTGGGGGTGATGAAGGTGATGGATCAGTTCGCACCGGACCTGGTGGCGGCGCATTAGGAAACCGCAAGCCCGATCCTTGTGTGACCTCATCCGCTCTCTCCCTTCCCCTCGCCTCCCCGCGCCCCTCTCCCCGCGCGCGCATCGCAGTGAACAACACGCTGGGAGTGATGAAGGTGATGGATCAGTTCGCGCCGGACCTGGTGGCGGACGCCATGAGCAACTGCAAGCCCAACGTCACCTTCGCGGGCTTCAACATCAGCCAGAAATCTGACTGCATAGACGGATTCAGCCAGGTGCGTTCCGCGGGCTCAGTCAGGTGCACTGCGAGGAATCGCGCGCCTTCCATCCATCCCCCTTCCCTAGAAAAAAACTCCACTCCCCCCCCCCTCCTCCCTCCCCCATTCTCCCCTTCCTTGCTGTTGCCAAGAGAAAAGAAGAGCTTTACATGGGGTTTGATGTCAGTCGGATCAAAAGACGCGTTTCTCTTGGTCTCTTTCTTCCTCTCCCTCTCGCTCTCTCTCTCTCTTTTCCACTCTTCGACTCAGCACAGCGTGCTCTTACCACCATCCCTCTTCAACCATCCCGCCCTTTTTCCCTCCCGTCCCCTCCGCTGCTCCCCCCCCCTGGACATGTGTGCTCGCGCCAGACAAGGCGCCCCTCCTGTGCGCCCTTTTTCCCCCCTCCTGTGCGCCCTTTTTCCCCCCTCCTGTGCGCCCTTTTTCCCCCCTCCTGTGCGCCCTTTTTCCCCCCTCCTGTGCGCCCTTTTTCCCCCCTCCTGTGCGCCCTCTTTCCCCCCTCCTGTGCGCCCTTTTTCCCCCCTCCTGTGCGCCCTTTTTCCCCCCTCCTGTGCGCCCTTTTTCCCCTCTCCTGTGCGCCCTTTTTCCCCCCTCCTGTGCGCCCTTTTTTCCCCCTCCTGTGCGCCCTTTTTCCCCCCTCCTGTGCGCCTTTTTCCCCCCTCCTGTGCGCCCTTTTTCCCCCCTCCTGTGCGCCCTTTTTCCCCCCTCCTGTGCGCCAGACTCAAAAACCCTTTCTTCCCCCTCCTGTGCGCCCCTTTTCCCCCCCTCACCTCCCCTCCGCCATCCCTTGTACGCGTGCGCGCATGGCAGACGGGGCTGCCGCAGCTCAAGGACTGCAAGAAGCCATGCACACCGGCAGGCACGCGGTGCTGCGATGGCGTGTGGCTGCCCTCTCTCAACATCCCCAACGTCATCTTCTTCCCGCAAGACCGATACGCCACCGGTGAGTGCCGTGCCGCTCCCTCCTGTGCCTGCGGTTATACACTACTAGTGAGCGCGCGCGCTCACTCCCTCGTGCGCCACCTGTGCGTGTGCGCTCTCTGTTTCTCAATCTCTCTGCCTCCAGCTGCGTTTTGAGTCGACTAAAAACTCTACTCATTGCACACCTGTACATGTGCGCTCTCTTTTTCTCAACCTCTCTGCCTCTAGCTGCTCACTGTCTCACTCCCACGCAGTATACGCTCACCTCCTCTCCCTCCCCCTTCCCCCCTCAACGTGTGCGCGCAGAGAGCATCTACTTCTTTTGCGACATAGGCCCGGACATAAGCACCTATTGACTCACCTCTTCACCTCTTTCCCCTCCCCCTTCCTCCTCCCCCTCCCCCTCCCCCTCCCCCTCCCCCTCCCCCTCCCCCTCCCTCTGCGAGCAGAGAGCATCTACTTCTTCGGCGACATAGGCCCGGACATGAGCGCTGTGGACCGCGAGGTGGTCGTGGAAGGTGCGATGCCGCTGGGGCTCCTCCTGTGCCACTGGGGGGCAGAGAAGAGGGCGTGGGGAGGGGGGAGAGGGTGGGGAAAGGTGGGGGAGAGGTGGGGGAGAGGGTGGAGGGGTGGGAGGGACGTTTTTCCAGTGGAAATTGCTTCTGTGGATGTGTTTACTTTTGCGCTTCCCTCTCCCTTCCCTCTTCTTTCTTCAATTCCATCTCCCCTCGCCCCCTCGCCACCTCGTCTCGTCCCCTGTGCGCCCTCCCTATCTACACCAGGCGAGTTCTCCTCCCCGTTCAACTTCCAGCGCTTCCCCTTCGACACACAAGTAAGCCACCCTACCCTACCCTACCGTACCGTACCCTACCTTACCGCCCTGGCTCCTCTTGAGGCTCAAAAGGGCTACTTCTGAAGCAACCAATTACGCCACAATACTGCCCCGGATCCTTGACTCCTCCACCGTGTTTGAACAAGTGTTTTGAGACGTCTCAAAACACCAGTTAAGCCACAAGACTGCCCTGCCCTGGATCCTTGACTCTTCCCCCACCAGCCACTCCTTCTCTCCCACCTCCCCATTGCCCTCTTCGCACCCAAAACCATCTAGATCCAACCTTCCCCTTTTGTTCGCTCCCCCCTCCCGCAGTTCCCAAATTTCCCGTCTCTCCCGTCGCTCCTGCCTTCAACCCGTCCTCCCCCTCCTTCCTCTGCTTGATGCCAACCCTTCCCACACAGCATCCGCACTTCACATTGACAGCATGAGTGAGAGCGTGAGTGAAAGCGTGAGTGAGAGCATCAGTGAGAGCGTGAGTGAGAGCGTGAGTGAGAGCGTGAGTGGGAGCGTGAGTGGGAGCGTGAGTGGGAGCGTGAGTGGGAGCGTGAGTGGGAGCGTGAGTGAGAGCGTGAGTGGGAGCGTGAGTGAGAGCGTGAGTGGGAGCGTGAGTGAGAGCGTGAGTGAGAGCATGAGTGAGAGCATGAGTGAGAGCATGAGTGAGAGCATGAGTGAGAGCATGAGTGAGAGCATGAATGAGAGCATGAGTGAGAGCATGAATGAGAGCATGAGTGAGAGCATGAATGAGAGCATGAGTGAGAGCATGCATCCATCCACGCACCCTTCAATGCAACCTCCCAGCATGCACCGCCTCCCTGCAACGCCCCTCCGCACGCCCCTCGCTCCACCCCCACCAGGACCTGCGGTTCACTCACAGTGATGGTGGAGAGTGGCAACACCTTCGTTTCCACCCCTACCTGCACTGCACTGCACTGCACTGCACTGCACTGCACTGCACTGCATCCTCCCTGCAACACCCCTCTCTCCCCTCTCCCCTACAGGACCTGCGGTTCACAGTGACGGTGGAGAACGGCAACATCTAACTGGTGTGCTTGCATCACTTGCATCACTTTTGAAGAACTCTCAGTCTCTCACTACTGATACAAGCACGCCCCTCTCTCCCTCCCTCTCCCCCCCACAGGACCTGCGGTTCACAGTGACGGTGGAGAGCGGCAACATCTACCTGGTGACGTCCAACTCGGGGCGGCAGCAGGAGCAGGCGTCCAAGGGCCTCAGCGGGGGCGGCGGGGGGGGCTTTTCCTCGGACGAGGTCACGGGCTGGCGCATCAGCCGCGTGGGACTCAACTGCTCCGCCAGTTCTTCAAACACCGCAGTCTCGGATCTCGCTAACTATGCCCAAGGTGCGCAGACCGGGTGCATGAGACGGTTCTCAATGTCGACTCACGGGGTGGCGAATCAATCGTGTGGGACTCAATTCCTCCGCCAGTTCTTCAAACACCGCAGTCTCGGATCTCGCTAACTATGCCCAAGGTGCACAGACCGGGTGCATGAGACGGTTCTCAATGTCGACTCACGGGGTGGCGAATCAATCGTGTGGGACTCAATTCCTCCGCCAGTTCTTCAAACACCGCTGTCTCGGATCTCGCTAACTATGCCCAAGGTGTGAAGCCTGAGTTGGGTTGACCCAAAAGCCGCCGCAACTGCTCTGCTCGGCTGCAGGAATGTGGAGTGGAACGATGGGGAGTGGAATGTGGTGGAAAAGAGGTGGAGATTAAAACACTCTGCCGACAGCAACAGAGAAAAAAGAACAAACTCACTCACTCGTGTTCCTCTTCTCACTCCCCCTCAACCTACCCTCCTCGTTCCCCCTCCCCCTCCCCTCTCCCTTCTACCCTTCCCCCCAACTGTGCAGATGACCCGTGGGCGCAGGTGAGCAGCAGTGGTGGGGCAGCGGACCCATCGAAGCCCACCACGTGTGTGTTTGTCATCTCCATCTCGCGCACCAGTGGCGTCTACGTCCTCTCTGTACGTTCCACCTCCCCTCCCCTCCCCCTCAACCTCCCCTCCCGTCCCCGCCTTTTCCCCCCACATCCTCATGCCCCTGCCTGCTCCTCACTCTCATTTTTTGTCTTTCCTGATTTCTCCCCCCATTAACTTTCCTCCCCCTCCCTCCTGCAAGACTCCATCTCCCGCCTCCCATCCCTGCTCGTCCTACTCGTCCTACTCGTTTCTCCCCACGCCTCCCTATCGTCCACCTCTTCTCCCTCTCAATGCCTTCCCCTCGTCCCTCCCTTCACCATCCCATCACCCTCCCATCACCATCCCATCACCCTCCCATCACCATCCCATCACCCTCCCATCACCGCCCCATCACCTCCGCCTCTCTCTGCCCGGCAGGTGATTCTCCCGGTGATGCTGAGCGTGTATCTGACCTTCTCGGTGTTCTTTGCCAAGCCAGAGGACCTGGAGGTCCGCTCTGCCACCTGTGTCACGCTCTTCCTCGCCCTCGCCGCCGTGCAGTTTGTCATTGACAGCCAGGTCCGTGGGGGGATGGGTAGGTGGGTAGCGTGGGTGCGTGGGTAGGTGCGTGGGTGTGGGTCTGGCCTTGCATCAAACCCTCCCACCTGTGTCACACTCTTCCTCGCCCTCGCCGCCGTGCAGTTTGTCATTGACAGCCAGGTGGGTGCGTGTGGGCTTGCACGCACACATGCACATGCACGTGCCACATGCATGTGCCACATGCACACAGACTTGTAACACAATGCCATCACATGCACTGCTGTGCTGTTGCCAAGGGCTCCTCCTCCTCCTCCTCCTCCTTCCCCCCAAGTCCAGAACATATCCTCCTTGTTCACATGCCACATATGCATCCTTCTCTTCCCCTGCGCCCTCCCTCCCTCCCTCCTTCCCTTTCCTCCTCGCACCCACCCATCGCCATCCGCGAGCCCCCTCCAAGCTGCCGCACACGTCGGCCACAACACCGTTGCATACTTGGTGATTGCGCCCAACATCTTCCCAGCAAAGCCCTCCTGAATTCTCCTCCCCTGTCCCCTCCCCTCGCTTTCTCCCCCTTCCCCCACCCGCTCCTCCCCCCAGCTGCCGCGCACGTCAGCCATAACGCAGTTTGGGTACCTTGTAATCACGTCCTACATCTTCATCATGCTCACAACCATCGAGACTGTTATCGTCTTCTGGCTCTCCGACCGGGTGAGCGGGGGTTTGGAGGGGCAGAGAGGGGGGAGGGTGGGCAGGGAATGGGGGGGAGACGGAGAGAGAAAGGGGTTGAGGGGACTTGACAGGAGAGACAGAGTGGTTCTATTTATCATGCTCACCACCATTGAGACTGTCATCGTCTTCTGGCTCTCTGACCGGGTGAGCGGGCGCTAGGGGAGGAGAGAGAGGGGAGGTTGGGCAGGGAAAGCGGGGGGAGAGTGAGGCAGAAAGGGGAGACGGGGGGATGAGGCGACATGAGAGGAGAGACTGAGTGGTTTTGTTGTCTTTATCCTACTCACCACCATCGAGTCTGCCGTTGTCTTCTGGCTCTCTGACCGGGTGAGCGGGGGCTTGGGTGGGGAGGGCGGGAGGGGGAGAGAGGGGTGGAGGAGAGGAGGGAGAGAGCGCAAGTGAGGGATGGGATGGGGGAGGTAGGGGGGGAAGGGGGGATGCAATGCGGACATGATAGGGAGAGGGATGGGGAGACTGTGTGAAGGTTAGAGGGTGAGTGATTGTGAAGGTTTGGCCTAGTAGCTGTTGATGACCTCCCATTCCCACCCTACACCACTCCGTTCACCCCACCCGGAGCAGATAGAAAAGGACGTGGTGGCGTCAGTGAGCAAGCGGTTTACATCGCGCCGAGACACGCCGCCCACGCCATCATCGCACGACACGTACAACACGCTCTCGGTGGAGCTCATGAAGTCACAGCCGCCGCCTCCCAGCGGCGGGGAGGGAGGGAGTGAGACGAGCGCGGAGGAGCGGGACAACGGGGAGGCGAAGCCGCCGAGCACGGGTGGACAGGCGATGGGGCCTTCTGATGGGCACGGGGGGGTTGAGAAGCCGCACGATGATATCAAGTGCAACCCAAGTGTCTGGGTACGTGCGCGGCTGGAGGGTTTTCTGGGCTGTGGTTCATGTTCGCTGCTGTCTTTGTACGGGAGTCGTGTGTTTCTTAGTAAATACGTACTTTCAAATCCATTCAGGTATTGCTGGTGGTTCCTCTGCCAGCAATAAGTTCACTGCATTCTTTTCGCTGCTCATGTCAGAATTCAGAATATTGTTGCCTTCACGCCCCGTTTTCTATGTTTCAACTGTTTTTCGTACTCCCACCCACCCTGCTACTGACAGCCTTGGGGATGCCTTCATCGCTGTGGTTACCGTTACAAGTCGAAGACAGAGGGACACGAAGATGAGGCCAATTATAAGCTTGCGGTTGCGATTGATGCTGTTTGTTTCGTCGTCTTCTTCGTTGCGTACACAGTAGTGTGCATCGTGCTTTATGCGTAACTCGCTTTGGGATGATAGATAGGTGTATTGTGCACAGCACAATTCCACATAGGAAGACGCATTCGTTTCTCCAACAGCCGTTGCTCGCCCGTTACTGCTAACGGGACTTCGCCAACTTCGCGCGCACTGTTTTGCCAAACCTCGCACTGCTGGCCCGGCCGTGTCGGCCTACGCTTCGGGACTAGCCCGAGCCTCGCTGCCAGCGTAGCACTAGCTAGCTCGCACGCACCGCGTTACCGTTTGCATGTTTCGCGTATAAATGTTCGCTCATGCCTTTGCTCACATCTTTGTACTCGTTTGACACCATAGTGCAATCCTCGCTACCTCGATCCATTGCACCCGTAACAAGTACCTAGAGATGCACATGGACCAACTCATAAGGTGTAATGCTCATTGTATGAAACGTAGAGTGAAATAGTCTGATGGTTTGGTTTATTCTGCATACTTGTAAGGAATTTTCTCGGCATTCCTTACGGAGCCCGACTACATCGCGTACAGCAACAGCCGTTGTTCGCCCGTTACTACTAACGGGACTTCGCCAACTTCGCGCGCACTGTTTTGCCAAACCTCGCACTGCTGGCCCGGCCGTGTCGGCCTACGCTTCGGGACTAGCCCGAGCCTCGCTGCCAGCATAGCACTAGCTAGCTCACACGCACCGCGTTACCGTTTGCATGTTTCGCGTATAAATGTTCGCTCATGCCTTCGCTCACATCTTTGTACTCATTTTGACACCTTAGTGCAATTCTCGCTACTTAGATTCATTGCACCCGTTAATATTTGACAAGCGTCCTGACGGCAGAACGCTCGTCCCTGCAAAACGACCTCACACGGGCACAATCCCAAGCACCTGACACTCCGATTCAGCCCGCACCACAGACATCACAGCACGGAATTGTGGGGCAACCCGCGAGCGCCGCAAGTGATGGCGTCGTCCGCCATGACGGAGACGACGACCACGGCACGACACACCCCGACGCGACGAATGCGGCCAGGACTCAGCCTCGAGTCACGATTTCGGTGCCGGCCGGCGAATCAACTCTTCCGTCGCCGATGCCGCTAAAACCGCAGCGTCCGCCATGCTTTGACCCAAATCAGTCGGGTGGTCCTACCGTTCAGGCGTGGCTCTTCACGTTGAACGTCTTCTTCGACGCGAACTACGTCTCGGAGGATACGGCGAAGATTCGCTACGCCGTGTCGTTGCTGCGAGGACCCGCCATGGACTGGTGGCGCGTCATCGTCACGAAGCCGGTGGACTACGCGACTCTACCGACACGGGAAGGACAAACCGGACCCTGGGCGCCGTCGTATTTCGTGGAGGTGCCCCAGTATCGCACGTGGGACGCGTGGTGCGCAGGTCTGCGCGCTCGTTTCGAGCCAATCGCGGCTTCGATCGCGGCGCGACAGAAGCTCCGCACTTGGCGCCAACTCGGTTCCGTCCAAGATTACACGAGCGGATTTCTGGCGCTATGCGAGCAGGTGGGATATATGCACGAGAGCGAGCGCATCGACCGCTACATCGGCGGCCTGAAGCAGGACATCGCTCAGGAAATCCAGCTTCGCGGCGTCACCGATTTTCAAGAAATTCTCGCTATGGCGGAGAAACTTGATTTCTTCCGCCGACCGAGACCGGGGTCCTACGGAAGCAGCCATTGGGGACATCGGCCTCGTGGGACGAACGAGGGCGCCACGATACGTGCCGTCGCCGCAAATGCCGCTGCTGCACCGTTCAAAGGGCGCTGCTTTGCGTGCAATCGGCCGGGACATCGCAAGAGCGAATGCCCGGAAAACGCTAAGGGAAAGGGGGAATCTGAGCAGCAGAAACAGACCAAGCAGCAGGGAAACTCTGGGAGTCAGTAGCAGACGGGCCCTCTACTGACAGGTCACGCCGCTCGCCCGACCCAACCGACCCTCACCGAGTAATTGTGCCGGTTCACGCAGTCGACCACACTCGGCCGAATAAGGAGGGGACTACGGTAGACAGCCCCATACTGCTTAGTGGGAAAATCGGGACGGACTTAGTTAAAATCTTCGTAGACGGGGGAGCCAGCCACAGCCTCATCAACACTGCTACAGCACGAAAACTGCGCCTGCCACTGGACAGATGTTTACCTGAGATCGACGCAAGACTGGTAGACGGCACGCCGCTGGCAATACGGGAACGCGTAGACCGGGTTCGGATTCGATGTGGGGGTAACTTCACGTTTAGCCAGGAAATGCTCGCAACGACCCTCGACGGAACCGATATTTTACTCGGGCGTGATTGGCTGCGACGACACAATCCGCGAATCGACTGGACGACGGGTGACTGCACCGTGCGAGTGAACGGTAACAACATCGCCCTACCTTTCTGGGGCTCGCCTGAGTCATCGTCGGTACGTGTCAACGCGATCACGATGAAACGCGCCGTAGCGGCAGGAGCTGACGTGTACGCGGTCGACATTCGGGAAGCCGAGGCGGCAGACAAAAGAGGGGATTTACAGAAACTGCTGACCGACGTACCGAGTGACCTGGCAGCACTGTTGAAGCAGTACAGCGACATTTTCCCGGATGATTTACCGACGGGACTGCCACCTCAGCGACCGCACGACCACAGGATAGAGTTAGAACCGGGGGCACAGCCAACAGTACAGCGACAGTTCCGACTCACCCAGCCCGAACTGGACGAACTGAGGAAGCAGCTCGATTACCTGCTCGAGAAGGAGTTCATTCGCCCTAGTTCGTCGCCTTTCGCAGCACCGATACTGTTCACACCGAAAAAAGACGGGGGATTTCGCATGTGCATAAACTACCGAGCACTGAACAGGGTTACCATCAAATCCCGTTACCCCATCCCGCGAGCCGACGAACTGATCGACCAACTGCGCACAGCCCGGGTTTTCTCGAAAATCGACCTCCGAGGGGGTTACCACCAGATTCGCGTCAATCCGCCCGACTGCCCTAAGACCGCATTTCGCACACGCTACGGATCCTTCGAATACACCGTCATGCCTTCTTGGCATGAGTACACGTGGGGGGAGAAAGAGCAAGCTGCCTTCTTGGCCCTCAAAAACATTTTGTGCTCACCGCCCGTGCTTCACATCGCAGATCCACACCGTCCGTTCGAGCTCGTCACTGACGCAAGTGACATCGCTGTGAGAGCAGTACTGTTGCAGGATTTCGGGAACGGCCTCCAGCCAATCGCGTACGAGTCCCGCAAGCTGCACCCGCCTGAACGCAACTACCCGATACACGACCGCGAAATGTTGGCGATCGTGCACGCGTTCAAAGTTTGGCGGTGTTACCTGACTGGCGCCGACGTGACAGTACGGACAGACCACCGATCACTACAGTACCTACGCGCCCAACCAAATCTCAATCCGCGACAGATTCGCTGGTTGGACTACCTCGAGTCCAACTTCCACTACACGGTTACGTACAAGAAAGGCGCATCCAACATCGCCGACGCACTCACCCGCCCTACCGCCCAACTCCACGCCATCCTACTCGCCCAAACCAACCCGCTTTTAACAGGCCTATTCACCCACGGATACCGCACAGACCCATTTTTCACGACTGGAAACTCACAGCAACTGGCAGAAAAAGGAGTTTATTACGTAAAAACAGGCACCAACCGCATCTGGGTACCCGCGTACTCACTACTGAGGGAGCTGCTACTGCAGGAGGCTGTCATAATGGTAAGCACAGTGAGGAGCCATAGCTAGGGTTTAGCTAGCTAGGCAAGAGAGAAATGAACAAAGGAGGGGTTTCACTAGCAGCAGTTGGGATACATATAGCAAACCCTAACTGGGTTGTACCCGCTATAGAGCACCCCACTACAGGCTAGATAATAACATTCTGACACACCCCCATAGCCAAAGTGGGGTGTAATCAGCACAACAAGCAGTCATAAAATAGTTCATAAGCCCAAGTAAAGCTAGAGGTAGTCACAGAGGGCATGTGAGGAGGAGGAGGGACTGTGAGAGGAGCGGAGATGGGAGGCGACGGCGGAAGCTGCAGACACACAGGAGCTGCTGGCTCAGTGGCTACCGAAGCAATGGCCCGGACTACAGGAGTAACTGGCTCTGCGGAGATTGTAGCCTCCTGACTGGAGCAACTGACCCACAGGCGACTGGCGACTACCGGAGATTGTAGCCTCCGGACTACTGGTGCTGCTGGCGACACGACTGCGACCTCCGCTCAACCTCCGCCAACTGCCCCACGCCCCTAGCACACACCCCCTGCTGCACCCCTAGCTCCACTCCCACGTCACCCCCCTAGCACCACTCCTTCGGCTCCCACACACCCACCCCCCCCCTGAGCGGTAGCTGCAGCAGCGGGAGACGGAGGAGGAGGAGGAGCAGGGAACGGCGCACAGAAATTGCACCCCCATACCCCCCACCCCCAAACCCTAATTCAGGAGAACGGGCAGCAGAAGGGGTAGGGCGCCGTCAGAAGCACGGGTGACAGCGGGCAGCTCAGGGGCAGAGAGGAACGGGCCGCCCACGGGCCTGGCACAGCCAGACGAACCGCGCGCAGGCGGCCCGAGCCGCGCGCGGGCCTGGCGCAGCCCGTACGGGCCGCGCGCGGCCCTGGCGCAGCCCGTACTGGCCGCGCGCGGGCCGGGCGCAGCCCGTACGGGCCGCGCTCGGGGCTAGCGCAGCCCCGCTGGCCGGGACGGGCGACCGGGGACGACGGGCTGGTCCCCGTCGCCCGTCGAAGCGCCCCCCGGGAGCGACGCGCGGACCGACGGGGCAGAAAGCCGCCGCGCGCCTCGGGGCGCACGGCGGGCAGAGAACCGCCGCACGCCCCGGGGCGCACGGCGGGCAGAAAACCGCCGCGCGCCTCGGGGCGCACGGCGGGCAGAGAACCGCCGCACGCCCCGGGGCGCACGGCGGGCAGAAAACCGCCGCGCGCCTCGGGGCGCACGGCGGGCAGAAAACCGCCGCACGCTCCGAGCGCGCGGCGGGAAGAAAAATCCGTCGCACGCCACGGGGCGTGCAACACACAGAGTAGCAGCGGAAGCAGTTAGGTGGGCCCACAGGCCAGGAGCGTAAATGCTCTGAAACCATGTCACAATGGTAAGCACAGTGAGGAGCCATAGCTAGGGTTTAGCTAGCTAAGCAAGAGAGAAATGAACAAAGGAGGGGTTTCACTAGCAGCAGTTGGGATACATATAGCAAACACTAACTGGGTTGTACCCGCTATAGAGCACCCCACTACAGGCTAGATAATAACATTCTGACAGAGGCACACGACGGAATTACCTCGGGACATTTTGGGGTAGAAAAAACGCGACAGCAACTGCAGCGGTATTACTACTGGCCGGTGCTGTTGACCGACGTACAGCAGCACGTGGGCTCGTGCCCCACGTGTCAGGTGATGAAAAGCTCGAGGAAGCGGAAGGCGGGTCAATTGCAGCCGATACCACCGCCCGAGCGCGCCTGGCAGCAGGTTACCATGGACTTCGTCACAGGGTTACCTTCGAACCCTGGGGGTAACGACGCGGTGATGGTCTTCGTTGACAGGTTGACGAAGATGGCACACTTCGTTGCGTGCAAGAAGTCGATCTCAGCCGAGGAGACCGCTCGTCTGTTCATCGCAGCCGTTGTTCGCCTGCACGGGATACCAGCAGCGATTATCAGCGACATGGACACGAAGTTCACCAGCAACTTCTGGAAGAACCTCTGGGAGCAGTTCGGGACCAGGCTACAGTTCAGTTCGTCGTATCACCCCGAGACCGACGGTCAAACGGAGCGGACGAATCAGACGATGGAGCAATTGATTCGTGCCACGTGCGACGACCCCACGACTTGGGAGCAGCAGCTACCGCTGATCGAGTTCGCGTACAACAATGCCACGTCAGCGACGACGCAGCAGTCCCCCTTCTACCTGAACTACGGGCAAAACCCTACAGTGCCCATGACGCCGAGTCCGGACAACCCAACACCACGTGCACAGCAATTCGCCGAAATTCTGCAAGCTGCCCGCACCAGAGCCGCAGAAGCAATTAAAAAAGCAAACGTCATCGCTAAGCGCAACGCTGACCGCCACCGCCGCCCAGTCACATACCAGTCAGGGGATTACGTACTGCTCGACACGCAAAATCTGCGACTGCCCGACGTACCAAAACTTCGACCGCGCTACTGTGGCCCATTCCAAATCAGCCACATGATCACGCCAGTAACCGCGCACCTACTGTTACCGACCGACTGGTACATCAGCCCTTCGTTCCACGTCAGCTTGCTTCGCCCATACATCCCAACCACAAGCCAACTGCCTCGCCACCGCCCGCTATCCATGACTCGCCCTGCATCGGAGCCGATCATCGAGCCCGAAAAAATCCTGAGCCATCGGATTCGACACCCCACGGGAATCAAGAGGATTGAATTCCTCGTTCGCTGGAAGGACCGCACGCCAACTGAAGATAGCTGGGTACCCCTGGCCAACGTTGAAAACCACCCTGCCCTGCAAGTGTACCTGAGGAGCCGGGGATTCCGCGATATACACGCACTCGCGTAGCGGAGGGGGCTTCTTGAGGGGGGGGGGTAGTGTAAGGAATTTTCTCGGCATTCCTTACGGAGCCCGACTACATCGCGTACAGCAACAGCCGTTGTTCCCCCGTTACTACTAACGGGACTTCGCCAACTTCGCGCGCACTGTTTTGCCAAACCTCGCACTGCTGGCCCCGGCCGTGTCGGCCTACGCTTCGGGACTAGCCCGAGCCTCGCTGCCAGCATAGCACTAGCTAGCTCGCACACACCGCGTTACCGTTTGCATGTTTCGCGTATAAATGTTCGCTCATGCCTTCGCTCACATCTTTGTACTCATTTTGACACCTTAGTGCAATTCTCGCTTCTTAGATTCATTGCACCCGTTACAATACTGTAATATTTGACAAGCGTCCTTGTTTCAAGTCAAATGTCTTCCTGACCTTGGGGTTTTGGTTCGGCAAGGCACCTAGCCTCCGACTGGATGACTCGGCCTAACGTCATCTCGAGTCATTGTCACGAGCTGGCTTGTCCGATGGCACGTGTCCGCGTCACTACTGAAGGCACTTTCGTCACATCACCAATCAAAAGGTATGCACGAGATTCCCCTAACCGCTTGGCTTTCCAGCATCTGGAGAGCCAGAAGTTTCGCCGACTTCCTTACCCAGCAGTTCACCACCAAAGAAAATGTTTCCTGCCCGCAGACCTACCACAAAGCTCTACACCAGCGCCAAAGCAATTTTTGTTGGCTTTATTTTGGCCAAGTCTGCGTCGCGTTGATGTGGTGGATCGTTCATGGGGCTGAGAGTAGAAGTTGCTGAGTCGGAGCGACTCGTGATTTACGTCATCCATCCCCACAACCGCATCGCGTTTCCACGTGGGCACTTCACCATAACCGCTCGCCATACCAACCGAATTTCATCCCTTACCTCCTTCCTGTTCAAATTGCGCTTTCTCGTCCGGCATTTCTTGCGTTGCAATTACAACTTCTGCTAGCTACTACTTTCCAAGTCCTGTGCATTCCAAGTCAATATCCCAGTCCTCCGACATTGTTCACCAGCTCGCGTCTTCAGCAATTTCCGTTTCCACGTCTCTTCACTCGACAAATCTCGACCAGTCTGCTGCCTCATCCATCTCCAGAAAAATGGCTCTTCTCGCGGTTCACTCGCAAGTGCGCGTCGCTGCACCGGTCGTCCATTTGGCAAGCAACCAGCGTCGTTCGACTCTGGTTCCTTCAACCGCAGTTCACGGCGCTTCGCGAAGCAGTATAGTTGGAACCTCTCTGATGCAACCACACACGGTTTCCAAGGCTCGATGTGTGGCGGTTCTGCAGCAACGGGCGCCTCCGGCCGTGGCGGCTACGCCGATGGAGGTGGCGCAGAAGGGATGGTCTTATTCGCAGTACGGCTCCGCCGTCAGGGATCTCCAATTCGGCACCGTTCCTCTGCCCGAAGTCGCACCCGACCAGGTACGCCTTTGACGCTGATTTTTCTCCGTTCAATGGGGCAGCAATTTGCAGCATTTTACACTCGGAGCTTGGCGGAATGTCGTGATTAGGTGTGAGCATGGCGTCATACATTTTCTGGAGGCATCATGCCAAAACTTACAAGTATGTTTTCTATCAATCACTGCTATTGACGCAAATTTCCACTCATTGACGTGGTTTATTGCGGTGTTATGCCGGCGGCAGGTGCTCATTAACGTGTCAGCCGCTGCGCTGAACCCCATCGACGTTAAGAGGATGCGCGGCGCGTTCAAGGAGACCGATTCGCCGCTTCCCGTGAGCCGTCCACCCTCTCTGTCGTCTCATTCCGTTTTCCGATTTCATGCACCCACGGTCATGGACCTCACGGCGACTCGAAGTCGTCAAGGATCCCCATTTTCGTTTCATTGCCTTGATTCGATTTAGAATAACTTCCATCGAACAACGCCAGTATCCCATGGCTCAGCACATAGTTCCGTTCAGTCCAATTCCGTCAGTCTGATACCACTGCCACATCATCGCATCATCACATCATCATCACGACCCTCACCTTCACACTCACCATCATCCTTGTCGTCGTCGTTTGTGGTGGTGGTGGCAGACGGTACCAGGGTACGACGTGGCGGGCACGGTAGTGGCGGTGGGGAGTGCCGTCACCAAGTTCGCAGTGGGCGACAGAGTCTTCGGCGACATTGACGAGTTCGCCACGCTCATGTGAGCTAAGCCACACTCTTACCTCTCACTCCTTCTCAAACGAGTCTTCTCGCTCCTACTCTTACATGTTCGTCCTCACTTAAATGTGCGCTAATATATTCTGTGTTCTTCCTTCGCGAATGTCGTTGTGGTTGCGCCAGGCCCAAGCAGCTGGGCTCGCTCGCGCGTTTCACGGCGGCCGAGGAGAGGCTCCTCGCTAAGATCCCCAACAACATGTCCTTCGCTGAAGCTGCTGGTGAGACCTCTCCCGCCCTCCATCCAGCCCCGTGCATCCTTGCGCCCCGTTCAGTATACCGTTATCCATAGTTGTGGCCTTTTCACTCACATATCTCGCACCCGTTCGTCCGTCGCCCGTGGTTTGCAGCGGTGCCGATGGTGGCGCTGACGGCACTGGGAGCGTTGGAGGCGGCGAACTTCAAGCACGGCCAGTCCGTGCTCATCCTCAACGGCGCTGGCGGCGTCGGATCCATGGCCATTCAGGTACCGTACCACTGCACTGCCCGCCGCGCCCTCCTCCTTCCACCTGCTCCTGCCGCTCTTACCTCTACATTCGGGCGCATTTTAGTCCCCTTGTAATGCTGCGCCTTCATCTCTATCATTGCCTGATAATGCGGTCCTCAAATGCTCTCCTCCCCTCCACGCCTCCGTCTCCCCTGGTCCCCGTGGCAGGTGGCGAAGCGGGTGTTCGGAGCAGGGTTCGTGGCGACGACGGCGAGTCTGCCCAAGGTGGGGCTGTTGGAGGCGCTGGGAGCGGACCACGTGGAGGACTATCGCACCATGGACTACACGCGCCTGCCACAGCTCTATGACTGTGTGCTCGACTGCGTTGGTGAGTGAGATCATCCGCAGGTTTCATGGACCATCCGCCCGCCCGCGCATGGTGTGGCAGATCTGTTCGCTCTTTTGTTGTTTTGTGTTTCTTATATGTTGCATCTCACATTCCCTGTTGGTTTTTCTGAGCTTGTGAGTTATTCAGCAAATGAAAACACCAGTTGATTGAGCTTGCATGTGGAGTAGGGGGTTGCAATCGAACACGGCCAATGTGTAGAATCGAAACGAAACAAAAAATCCCTAGTTGTCTCTCTCGACCTCCCTTCTGTTCCCACATTTTTACCTTCTTATGCTGTCTGGCCGCCTCTCAACGCCTCACAATCCCCACCCACCCCTTCCCACGCCCTACCCACACCTACCCACAACAACAGGCGAGGCGGAGCGCGCAATGAAGGTGGTGAAGCCAGGCGGCGCGTACGTGTGCCTGACGGGCTCCTCCCCTGCGCCAGCAGTGCGCTTCAACATGGTATCCAGCGGGGCCAAGCTGCAGCAGCTGCTGCCCTTCTTCGCACGCGGGGAGCTGAGGGCCGTCATCGACCCTCATGGCGTCTTTGCTCTCTTTGCTGTGCCGTCCGCGTTTGAGCACCTCGAGTCGGGCCGCGCCACCGGCAAGGTTGTGGTGGGCGTGCTGTGACTGCGCTGAGCCCTGAGATTGGAGCCCAGCGGTCAGCTGCTGAGCCCACCTTGAGGGTGGGTGGCTGCTGGAGCTGCGGTTGAGGTGGTTGGAGACTTGGGGGTAATTTGCAAAGAGGAGTGGGGCTTCAGCACCAGGATGGTACTATCTCAGGGTTTTGAGGGGTGGGGATAGAGGGAGGTTCATCTTTGGGTTGACTGGTGTGCGTGAAAAAGTGGCGGCATCAGCTACATGGGGTCAGCTGCTGGCATACCGTAATACCACAGCAGGCCTGTCGGTCTGCTGGGTCATTTTTGGTACTATCTTGCAGCCTTATGTATGTATGGAGCCTGTGGGGTTGGGTAGGTAGCTGTAGGCGTGTTGGTTCCTTTCCCTTTTTCTTTGTGCGGCTGGAGAGCTGTTCCCTTGCCACTCCCTCGTGGGCAAATGTACATTTCCCAAAGTTTTCATCGCCTGCAGGGCATATTACTTGTACTTTTGTGATTTTAATTTTATATTGCCACAGATTTTGCTTTCGTCCACTTTACTGCTCCACGGAGAGTCTCTGGTGCTTCAACTTTGATATGGTGTAGGCATGCCAGTCCAAACATAATACCGTATGCAATTTATCCATACGTAATACACATTACGCGTCTTGCAACCATGGGATAGCTTGACTGCAATGCATATATCGCAACCACGGGATGACCAAGCATGCAATGTTATCATGCTACGAAACCAGCGAATGAACCGGCCGAGGTTTTGTTGGAAACAAGTAATTTAAGCGCCTCTGTCGTGTCGAAGCACTAAGTCGTAAACGAAGCGAAATACAGCGAAGCATCGGCGAGTCAACCCTCGGAGGTTGAACAACTGCTGGAGGTTACGCGAAAGTCAAAGGTCAGCGACCTTTGACCTGACAAGTATAGCGCGACAGCAAGGACAAACAACTGACTCGTTACTGAGCAGTTGCCCGAGTCGTCACTGTATCGAACCGCAACAGCAACAGTAAAACAGTTATTAGCTACCGTATAACCTTTCATATTCCCCTGTACTCTTATAAAAGCCCTGTATCCTCTTGTTTTAATCAATCTACTTTGCCCTCACATACCAGCGCAAGGTGGTTCACAGACTTATCATTAAACGCTTCCGCTATTACATTGTTCCTACTCAGAGTTTAGTTCTGCAAAGATCCTATGGGCTCTTCTCAGCCCAACAGGTTTTCTCTTTCAACGGCCGACATCATCACAAATTCCACAACAAAATAATGGACTGGCAAAGTTCCATCTGTTGCATCACATTTGCAATAGATACTTGTGGCAATAATTGAATGTAGAGTGCGATTGTGTAGGATGCGTTGCGCAAAATTAGCATAGATGGTTGGCCGGTCCCATTTATTCCAAATGATAACTTAATGATAACACTGGTTTGCAGCTGTCGTCTGCAACATGATGGGTTACGTTGCAAGCACGAAACGGAGATGCTGTCATTTTTTATAAGTCATACCATATATGCAACCATACGTAACCCAAATACACTTACCATGCGTATGCCGACTGCATATCTCTTTGTCCATGACCTCCCCTTCCCCCTCAAACAAAGCGAGGCACAGTTCCTTGACAAGCTTGCACCTCAAATCAGTCCCTAAAAGTGCGTTGGCTTATCTTCCCTCTTGCCGTATCTCTCGTCGTTTTCCACGGGATTATCTCTCCAGCGCACCTTCGCAGTACGCATTGCTTTGAGTTTCCAATAAAGCCCGTCGGAAGTTGCCCATCGCCAGGCAAACGAGGAACGCGGGGATGGAAGTTGCACGGGTGGACGCAGCAAGCGGGGCTCAACTGCGGGGGGAGGCCCTGCACGTGCACGGCCCTGCTGAGCTGTCGTCTCAGGATTGGCTTGCGTATTTCGCAACATTTAATCCTGTCGGGATAGAATGGGTGTCTTTATCCTCTTGTAAGGAACCATAAAAAATTACCATCTTCAATTTCCTGCGCAAAGATGTAGCGAGCGTTCGCGAATGCGCGAGTTTGTTCTCTTCACCCTCGCCTAGCTCCTTCTCCCCCCAAATGCTCTCCTCCCAATGTCCCTGCCGGTTGATGCTTCTGATGCTTCCCCTCGCACCCTCCTAAAACTTTCATTCTTTCTGGTTTCCCAAATGCCGATCTTATTGGCCGTCGTTCTCTCCATTCGGTGTGTTTCATTTTGTTGTCGTTTGTTTCACAAAACCGTTGGCATCCTCCGATCATGCTCCTAGCCACCTGGTAGTTCTTAGTATTTGTTACTTGTTTCCAGCCCGTTCTTCTCCAGCTCTCCACACACCCCTCTCTCTTCTCTTCCTTGGTCCATCCCTCCCTGTTTCCCTCTCCCTCCGCCCCTCGCTCCATTTCCCCCTCCATCACTCCCTCCATTCGTCCCTTTCTCCCCCCTCCGTCCCTCCGTCCCTCCGTCCCTCCGTCCCTCCCTCCCTCCCTCCCTCCGTCCCTCCCTCCCTCCCTCCCTCCCTCCCTCCCTCCCTCCCTCCCTCGCTCGCTCCCTTCCTCCCTCCCTCGCTCCCTCCCTTCCCCCCTCCCTCCCTCCCCTCCATCGCCCTGGCAGGCAATGTGGTGTTTGACGACGGGTTCACGTGCAAGCGGGCGCTGCTAGCGAGGCGCACAGCTCTGGATGACATGTACCAGGGCGTTCCAACTCATGGTCAGTATGGCTCTGTTATCCGCTCTCTCTCCATGGCCAGGACGGTCTACTCCTCTTGGTGGTCACTACGGACCTGTTTCCTGCACCCTAGGTTCAGTCGAGCATGGGGATCCCAATGTCTGCTGCACTTTGGATGGACTCACTCAACTGGCCTCACATGTCTATTATTTACCTTATCTCGTTTTCTCCCCCTCACTCTCCCTCTCTCTCTATGCCAGTTGTAAACAGTAGAGGCTCCACTTCTTCTTTTGTTTCAAGCTTGCTCTCTGCACGTTATGAACAGTCTGCAAGCATGCCTTTTCATGGCTTTCCCACCTTGCGATGTTGCCTTTTTGATTCTCCTATTCCAGCACTACCCCCTGCTCCGTGGTTCACAGCAAAGCCCATTTACTGCGATGGCATGAAGCTGCCCTGCTCCATTCGGGCAGCTACAATTTTCGACGTGCGCCCGTCCACGGGACTGCCAGCCAGTGTCGTTGCCCAGTTAAGAGAAAAGGAGGAGGGAGCAGCAAAGCTTCGCAGAGGGGATGGCGCAGGGGTGAATGCTGGAGTAGGAGGAGGAATTTTCCACGCCAGTAGTAAACAGCAAAGTGGCCGTTTAGGGGCAGGTTTTGCTGCTGGCGTTGCTAGTAGCAACGGTGCAGGTGGTGATGGAGGAGAGGAAGGAGGGGGAGGGGAAGGCGGCATTCTTGACAGGGCCCTGGAGGAGAACAGTTCGGATGCAATGGAGGGGGTCACTGTGAACGGGGACAATCTGTCAGGGCTGCATGGATCAGGCATGGCTCCTCGGCGTGCTCGTGGCCCTGGTGGCAATTCCCGGGGTTCTGCTGGTCGGCGTGTGGTGGACTGGGATGCTCCCGTTTCTGAGGCCAGTGAGGGGGTGGTCGAACGGTTCGGAACTGCTTCTGAGCCAGAGGTACTCGCAGCCGCAGCTGCTGCAGCGGTAGCAAAAGCTGTTGGCATGCCTGTGGCTCCGGCTTCTGCTGTTATTCCTGGCAGTATGGTGGCAATAGAAGGGGCTCCCCCGGGGGCACCGTTAGTAGCACTCGTGCCTGTAGTCACAGATGGCGAGGATGGGCTGGCAGGAAGCAGGGGCGAGGGAGAAGAAATCACTGAGGATCTCCGGGATGTTTTGCAGAAGGTCAGGGAAGGCAAGAGAAAAGCTCGGCCGAGCGTTTGGGAAAGAATAGGACGATCTGGAGAAGGTGGAGAGGAGGGCGAGATGGGTAGTGAAGGAGATGAAGAGGATCGGGTGGTCGATGATGGGAAGGGCGGGGGGAGTGTGCTGGAAGGGAGGCTAGGGTTGGAGGGAAAGAAGAGGATGGTTCGTGATGCCGGCGGCACCAACCGTCTGTTCTTGAAAAGTGTTGCGTCATTGCACAATGGTTCGGAGGGTTCACGGGTACCTGGCACGGTGGTTGAAAAGAAGCGACCTTCTCGAAGTGTGAAGCAAAGGCTTGGAAGCAAGGTGGTGGTTCCGCATGCTCTAAGTGAAGTGGAGTAAGAGCGCATATCAACAACTGTTATCACTAACTGGCATGTGATAGACTGCATGCGTCGGCCTTGCAAGCAGCTGTCGTCATTGACTAGTTCCATCTACTGCTGAAGTTTTGTGACATTTAATTAGACTGACAACGAAAGGTTATATGACCTAATGTCATGACAGGTTGAGTGGTGCAATTCAACCAGTGCACAATGTAAAAATTGACAAGAGGGTTTTGAAACTATGCATACTTGAAAGCATAATGATGTGAAAATGTTTCCATGTAGCCTTTTCCAGAGCTTTCCCCAACCTCGCTACACCACGAACCGAGCCCCAAGCAACCCCCTGACTTGAATAGACGAGGCGCGGAGCTCCCATTTCACCCCAACGGCCCTCTTCCCTCCACAAGCTGGTACGCAAATTCGCATCGCATTCCGAGCCGCGCGTCCAAATTTCCGAGGGGACCGCGTGGAGGGAGCTGAAATGCGTGAAATTGCTGCCAGATTTTGACAGGCCCATCAGAAGAGGTGATGGGTGGTGGGAGGAGGGGGGAGGGGAGGTGGTGTACAGGAGAGGAGGGAGGGCTGGGAGGGCTGGGAGGGATGTGTGTCTGTGTGTGTCTGCGGGTACTACAGTGTAGTATGTGAGTGAAGCAGAGAGTACAGTACCCTGAAGTAGCACCCAACTCGCACTCCCTCTCCTCCCGCCCTCTCGCTTTCAAACTTTCGCTCGCCCGCTCACTCTTAGGGGGCTAACACCCACTGTCCTTGCAAGACCTTTAGTGTTTCTTTACCACTACAGGGCGCTTGCAGGGCGCTTCCCGTTGACATCCTGGGCAATGTGACTAGAGAGAAGGAGAACGAGCGAGAGAGAGGATAGGGGTGCTCATAAGAAAAGATACAGCTCCACAGAGGAGCTTTCCACGTTCGTGAAGCAACGAGTAGCAAGCATGCGTCGGTTAGAATAACCACGGCATTGTGACAAATCTTGACACAGCGGACGGGTCGATTAATAACGTCTGAGTAGCAAAAGGACAGCGGAATCCGGGACGAGCACCTCGGCTGTCATCACCTCATGCACTTTTGCTATTTTTCATTGTTTGCCGAATCGAGCCGAAAATTTCAATATTTTTTAAAAGGCACTTCTTTTCGCATACTGAACCTCCTCGCACTCCCACATGGAGGCACACACACCAAGTAGCGGCGGCATGGCCACGCGATGGGAAATGAGTCCGCGGATGTCGCGCGGCCGACAAGAAGAGCGAGGCCGATTCTGGGGCTCCAGCAGGTGCGTCGCATGATGAGTTATGCGTGTTTGCGTTTTCCGTGTCGCGTTTTCTGTGTTGCGCGCTGTTCACGTCACGTCGAGATGTCCATGGTGCGACATACAGTACGCGCCGCGTTCCATTTTCAGGATTGTAGCGGTAGAGCCTAAAGGCATTCCTACCTTTGTATCACGTCCGACAGCTTTCGAGGCAATGAACCGATGCTTATCGTACTCTACCATGCCCTCTCCCCTCGCTCACCCTCTCTTCCCCCTCTCCCTCTTGCTCCTTCCCATGCTTTGCCCCTTGCCTCCTATCCGTGCTCGTGCACATGCGTATTCTCGAATCCCACCATCGAATATCTACCTTACTGCTCGTTTCCGTCTCGTCCCCCACTATCCTCCTTCACGCCTTTCTACGTTGCCCTCCTCCGGCAAGCACCCCCTCTACCCCACTCTCCTCTTGCGGCACGCATCTCGTCCACTGTTTACCCGTCTGCCCTTCCGTCTGCACCGATACATATGCTTGACCCCCCCACCAGCAGCCCCCCTCCGCTTCCCCCCTTCCGCTCACATTCTCCGCTTTTCCCCGTCTCCGTCGCCTTTTCCCCCCGAACAGGAAGGAATCCTCATCGCCCCGTGAAAGGTCCCCCTGCCTTGCGCAATCCAGCTCACGCGTGCATCCCAGCCCGCTGAATCTCCCGGTCGGCGCATCTCCCCTCGCTGGTCCCCCAGCAGCGGAGGCTTCCCCGTCGCGGGGCGGATGGGGCGCGAAGTGGGCGTTCTCGGGGCGCCGGTCCAGCCCAAGGCGCGCGCGTTCGATGTCTCCCGTTCCGCGCAGGGGGAAAGAAGCCCCGCCTATAACGGTTACTACGGCAGCGAACAGTTTCGCGACGCCAGGCCCAACTCTCCCCGCGCGTCGCGTGGGCAGGCTCTGGTCAGCCGCGCCGCCACCGCCGGCAGCGCACATGCAAGGACCGGCCGGGTCGGCGGCGCATGCTGGGGAAGTCGCGGCTCGTCATACACCGGAAAGCGCCGCACATCACGGGTTTCCGTGTTTAGCAGTTGGGGAACACGAGGTTGGGGAGAGACGGCGCGTGGCGCAAGGGCCAGGCGGACCGCACGTCGGAAGCTCCCCCGGCGCAGTTGCGGGCGCGGGAGCGGGCGGTGCGGGCCTGCTTGCGCTGCAGCTGCAGCTGCAGGAACGACAGCAAACGGATGAGGACGATTGCGAAGATGGCTCACATTACTTGGACTACGCGCACCAGCAATACGGCGGAGTAACTCCACCGGAAATGCCGCAGCGGAAGAAGAAAGCGGCGGTATTCCGCGGATGGTCGTACCTGATCAAGGCGCTCTCCCGCGGGATGCGGAAGAGCAAGCAGCGCGGGCGCAGCCCCAGCCCTGACAAGCGCGCGCCGTACGCGGGGGAAGGCGCAGGTGGAGGCGCAACTCCGTCTCCGCCTCCACGGGCATTCGTGCGCGTGGGCGAAGAGGTGATCCCGGTGCAGCCGGGGCAGGTGCAGGAGCAGGTGCGCGCGCTGGAGCGGCGCATTAACTTCTCCGAGGAGGCGGAACCCCGGACGCCCGAGATGCGCGCACAAGCGCCTTTTGGAACGGTTCTACCCGCGGTGGCGGACGGCGGAAGCGTTGCGCAAACTGGGGCAGAAGGGGGGAAGAAGGAAGGAGGAGTTGCGCTGGTGGATGTGGGGCGAGTGGGACTGGGGGGAAGCCGCGGAGCGGCGCAAGGGGAAGGTGGCGCGCGGGCCAGACCCGCGCTTGTGGGGAGTTTGCGCTCATGGAACAACGAGGTGGGGGAGGAAAAGCGCGATTTGGGAGACGCGGAGCAAGCGGGGGAAGAGACTGCGGAGGCGGAAGGGGAGCGGAAGCTCCGCGCTGGCGCTGCGGCTGCTAAAGCGGCTGCGGCTGAGGGAAAGAGTGATTCCGCCACGTCGTCGGCAGTTACACCGGCCATCGGGTGGGGGATGGGGTTCAGAAGCGCGCGCATGGTGCTGCAAGCGCAAACCACGGGCGGTGAGACGGAGGAGGCGGAAGAGGACGAGGAGGAAGGAGAGGCGGCGGTCTCGAAACGCGTGGAGGTAGAAGAGGAGGAGGGGGAGGCGGAAGGAAAGGCGGATACCGGGGAGGGAAAATCGGACATCGTGGAAACGGCGAGCGCAGCTGGAGTGGCAAGTGCGGCGGACGTGCAAGGCTACGCGGCTCTTGCGGACAGAATCGATGTCGAGGATATCACTAGCGAGGACGAAGCCGACGCGGGCAATCCAGCAGTACAGGAAGAGGAGGACGAGGAGGAGGAAGAGGAGGGGGACGGCGAGGAGGAAGAGGAGCGGATCCGCGAGATGCTGCGCAGCGGCGTGGGCGCGGGCGTGTTGCGCGCGAGCGGGAACTGGCTGGAGCAGGTGGCGGCGGCGGAGCGGGACGGCGCGGTGGACGTGGCGGCGCGGCTGCTGGAGCTCGCCAAGGAATGCGGCGCGCAGGTGGGGGAAGGGGGGGGTGAAGGGGAAAGGGGAGGGGACGGGGGGAAAGGGGAATGGGAGAGAGATGGGATGGAGAAGAGGAAGGGAGGGGATCGAGAGAGAGTGACGAAGTGGACGGGTTGGGCTGGGAGGGTCGATTGGAGGAGGTGAAAAAGGTGACGGGGGAATGCAGGAACGTGGATGGATGGCATGGGGGACAAAAGAAGTACCAGGCATTGGCTTGGATTTCATGTCATGCTTTCTTCCTTTCCTCCCCCTACCTCCCCTTTCTTCCTTTCTTCCATTCTTTACCACATTCTCTTCGTCGCTGCTGCAGGGCCCTATCCTATCCGATCCTCTCCTCTCTTCCCACCGTCGCGCTCGTTCTACCCTTCTCTTCGTCCCCAGCCCCTTACTACAGGGTTTTCCGATGGGCTTGGCTGGACTGGTCATGCGCCATGCACCACACCACGCCACGGCTTGTCGCTCACTTGGCGTCTCACCCTTCTCCTTTGCTCACCTCCCTTGATCCGCATCTGGACTTCTCTTCCTCAGCCCCACCCCTGCTCCCTCCTCCCCTTCCAGCTCTTCCTTTTACACACTTCGACATTTCTCCCATCAAACATCGCCCTCCCCCTTTTCGCCCACTCCCTCTTCCCCTCCCCCACTCTCTCTCCGCCCCTGTCTCTGCCACCAGCCGGAGCATGAGATCGACGAGGCTCGAGCGGTGTTCTACCAGCGCCACACGCACCTGCGCCGCCCCGCTTCGCTTCCTTCTCCTGCCCCTGCTGCTGCTGCTGCTCCTGCTGCTGAAGCTGTTGCTGCTGCTTCTGCCAACAAGGAATGGCGGGGAGGCGAGGAGCAACAGAGCGGGATGGAGATCGAGGTCGAAACAGAAGCCGCAGCGGCAGCAGCGGCAGCGGCAGACGCAGGTAGCGGCGCTACGCCAGAGAAGCTCGGTGGTGTGAGCAGCGATGGCGATGCTGCTGCAGAAGGAGGGTGTGGTGAGCAAGAGGAGGCTGACGCAGAGAGCGAGGCAGAGGCGGCGAGCGCGCCTGCTCCGACCCCTGCTGAAGAGCAAGGCACTCAGGCTCGTTGGGAGGAGGAGGAAGAGGAGGAGGTGGTGGAGGAGGAGGAGCAGGGGGCGGCGGAGGAGACGATGGTGGTGGAGGGGATGAATCTAGAGGACATTGTGAAGGCCGCAGAGGAGGAGGAGGAGGAGGAGGAGGAGGAGGAGGAGGAGGAGGAGGCGGAGGAGGCGGAAGGCGATGAAGGGGAAATGAAAGGGGAGAAGGATGAGGAGGGGGAGATGGAGGAAAAATCACTGGAGAAGGAGGAGGTTGTGATAGAGGCGGTAAGGGAGGAGGAGCAGGAGGAGGATGCGGAGGAGCACGGCTGCTCTGCTGATGCTGTTGACGATACTGATGCTGCTGCTGTGAGTTTGTGGCCGTGTTTGGGCAGTGCTAACCCTCAGGATGATGATGATGACCTCTCCGCGCTGCTGGCCTTGGCTGTGGAGGACGCTGCGCCAGACACGGAGCAGGCGGAGCAGGAGGAGGAGGAGGAGGCGAGGGACGAGAAGGAGCAAGTGGAGGAGGGGGGGAGGAAGGAGGAGGTGGGAGAAAGATGGGCGAGAGAGGAGTACGAGAGGGCCGGGGAGCAGGAACAAGGAGCGGTTGTGATGGAGGATGGGAGGGAGGAGGCGGACGAGGATGAGAGGGACTCGGATGATTGCAGCAGCAGCGCAGCACAGCTGGAGGACCTCGGCGTGGCTTCTGGCGCTGCTTCTCCTGCCGCTTCTCCTGCTGCTTCTCCTGCTGCTTCTCCTGCCGCTTCTCCTGCTGCTTCTCCTGCTGCTTCTCCTGCAGCTTCTCCTGCCGCTTCTCCTGCTGCTTCTCCTGCCGCTTCTCCTGCCACTTCTCCTGCCGCTTTTCCTGCCGCTTCTCCTGCTGCTTCCCCTGCTGCTTCCCCTGCCGCTTCTCCTGCCGCTTCTCTTGCCGCTTCTCCTGCCGCTTCTCCTGCCGCCTCCCCTGCCGCTTCCCCTGCCGCTTCCCCTGCCGCTTCCCCTGCCACTTCCCCTGCCGCTTCCCCTGCCTCTTCCCCTGCCGCTTCCCCTGCCGCTTCCCCTGCCGCTTCCCCTGCCGCTTCCCCTGCCGCTTCTCCTGCTGCTTCCCCTGCCGCTTCCCCTGCCGCTTCTCCTGCCGCTTCCCCTGCCGCTTCTCCTGCCGCTTCCCCTGCCGCTTCCCCTGCCGCTTCTCCTGCCGCTTCTCCTGCGGCTTCCCCTGCCGCCTCCCCTGCCGCTTCCTCTGCTGTATCCCCTGCTGCTGCTCCTGCGGCGCCGCTGTCTCCGGCGCTGCCGTTCTGCGACCTGACGGCGTCGCTGGAATTCGACATGCTGCTGTCGTCCGTGGAGTTCCTGTCGCCCGACCGTTCGCTGCGACTGTCCACTGCGTCTGCTGCTGCTGGTGCTGCTACGGGTGCTGCTGCTGGGGCGTTGGGAGCACATGCCGCGGCCGACGAAACGGATGCTGCTCTGTTCCTTAGCTTTGAAACCTCTTCTGACGCTGATGCTGATGCTGATGCTGCTGCAGATGCTGCTGTTGCGCATGCCGCCTCAGAAGGACTCATTGAGGCGGAGGAGGAGGAGGAGAAGGAAGAGGCGAAGGACGGAAGTGGTGAGGAGGAGGTAATACATGGCGTTGATGTGGCATGGCTGGTGGACGGTGGGGGGGTGCAGGAGGAGGAGGAGCGGGGAGAGGAGGAGGAGGAGGAGGATGAGGATGAGGAGGAAGCGAGTCATTTAAGCAAGGAGCAGGAGGAGAGTGAGTCGCAGGCGACGGTGGAGGAAGTGTCGGCATGGGAAGAAGTGAGCGGAGTAAGCTCGGAGACCGGGGCTGGTGGTGGGATGGCGGAGGCGCACGAGTCAGCTGCCGTAGACGAGGAGGAGGTGGAGGAGGAGGACAGGGAGGAACGGGAAGAGGAGGAGGAGGTGCAGGAGGTGCAGGAGGTGCAGGTGGTGGAGGAGGTGGAGGAGGAGAGTGATGAAGAAGCAGGCGGGGAGGAATTTGAAGTGTTTGTGGCGGATGGTGCTGCTGTGCATGAGCAGACACTGCCGATGGAGGTGGCGCTCTGCGAGAGGAGAGAGGAGGACGAGGAGGGAGAAGAGGAGACGGGTGAGGATGTTGAAGATGCAGCGGCGGCAGAGGCAGGAGCAGCAGCGGAAGATGCTGCTGCTGCGTGGTGGGAAGTTCAAGCTACTCCCTTGACAGAAGCACAAGTGGACGTGCAGTCGGACGAGGCTGAGACGGAGGAGGCTGAGAGGCTCGAGGTCGAGAGGGAGGTTCGACAGCTATTGGTGCTGGAGGAAGAGGCGGAGGAGGAGGCGGAGGAGGCGGAGGAGGTGGAGGAGGTGGAGGAGGTGGGGGAAGAGGAGGAGGAGGCAGAGGCCGCAGCTGAGGCGTACTTTGAGACGCCAAAAGCCGTGCTTGAGGGGATGGAGGAGGCGGGCGAGGAGGTGCAGGAGGAGGTGGGGGGTGAATGGGAAGCCTCTCTTGCGGACGATCACTTGAGCGAGTGGGATGAGCCGTCGTCCTCGTCCATGCTCCTTGACCTTGCGTCTGGGAGTGGCCAGGAGGACGCTGCTGCTCCAGCTGCTGTGACTGCACCACATGCAGTGGCTGCTTCTGTCGACGCCGTTAATGCTGTAAGCACTGATGGTGTGGTGGATGCTTCCAATGCTGACGCCGAGCCGGCGCTGCTTGATGCCTCCGTGGCCGAAGCCTCTGGAGTTTCGGAAGGAGAGGCAGCAGCAGCAGCAGCAGTGGAGGAGAGCGGAGAGGTTAAACAAGCAGGCGTGGTGGTGGTTGCGAGAGGCATGGCGGCGGAGGAGGAAGAGACGAAGGCGGAGGGAGCGGAAGAGGAGGAAAAGGAGGAGGAGGAGGAGGTGGCGAGTGAGAGGTTTGAGATGTCTGAGTTGTTGACAGACGAGACGGGAGGCGAGGAATGTGAGGGGGATGGGAGAGAGGAAGCGGAGGATGGAGTGGAGGGAGAGGAGGGAGAGGAGAGTGGAGAGGTGGAAGTTGAGGAGCAGCAGCGGACGGCAAAGGTGCAAGCTGAAGCAGGGCTGGAGGAGGAGGTGGTGGTGGTGCATGGTGACGGGGAGACGAAGGACGAGGAGGACGAGGCAGAGGAAGAGATTGAGGAGGAGGAGGAAGTGGAAGAAGACAAGGAAGAAGTGGAAGGGGAGAAAGAGGAGCAGGAAGAGGAGGTGGAAGTATACGTGGCAGAGATTTCGGATGTGGAAGGTGGGGTGTCAGGTGCGGTGGAAGACGAGAACGTATGGTCCGCGGAGGAGATAGCAGCGGACGAGAAAGCAGCACACAAGAGTGACGGCGCGGCAGATTTGGAGGTGCTGGAGGCAGACGAGGAGGAGGAGGAGGAGGCACGTTGGGAGGAGGGAGGGAGGGACGGAGAGCAGGCGGAAGAGGAGGTGGAGGAGGCTGGTGAGTTGTTGCGTCTCACAGGGGATGGTGTGATGGGAGAGGAAGAGGTGGAAATAAGGGAAGGGACTGCGACAGTGGGAGTGGAAGAGGCAGTTGGGGAGGGAGGATCAGTGGCGGAGGAAGAAAGAGTGGAGGAGGTGCAGGAGCAGGTTGATACAGAAACAGGAGTGGACATGCAGGAGGCGGTGCTGACAGGGAGAACGCACGACGCTGGGAACGCGCGTGCAGTGGAGGAGGCGGAAGAGAAGGCGGAGGAGGTGGAGGTGGAGGGGGTAGCAGAAGGAAGAGTGGCAGAGGAGGCTGCGGTTACGGCAGGCGAGGAGGAGGAAATGGAGGAGGAGGAGTTGGCAGTAGAGGCGGAGGTGGCGGTAGAGGAAGAGGCGGATTTGGATTTGGAGGCCCTGGTTGAAGCGTTCGGAGAGGATGGTGACGGGGAAGAGGAAGTGGGAGAGGACGAAAAGGAAGAGATGAAAGAGGTGGAAGAGGAGGAGTGGGAGACGGCGATGCAAGGGCTGGAGCAAGCCGCAGAGGAAGTGGCGGCCGAGGAGGTGGAAGCCGAGGAGAAGGATGAGATTGATTCAGAGAAGCAGGAGGAGGAGGAAGAGGCAGTGGGAGGAATGGAAAGTGGGGCGACAGACGCGGTGGAGGACGGGAGTGAGGCGACTAGAGCAGAGGAGGATGAGAGCGAGCAAGTGAACGGAGTGGAGGGGGTGAAAGAGGAGGCTGCAGAGGAGGAGGCGAGTGAGGAGGAGGGTGAGGAAATGGAAGCAGCAGTTGCAGTGAGTGAGGTGGCTTGTGCAGTGCGGGAAGAGGCGGATGAGGAGGTATCCGAGGGCGAGAGGGACGTGGAGGGAGCAGAAGAGTCAGAGAGTGGCGGTGAGGGGGAGAGGGAGAGCGGAGGAGAGGAGGGAGAGAGCAATGCATTGGTGGAAGCAGCTGGTTGGGATGAGACCCAGGTTGGTGCGGTGGAATGGGGGCGCACAGAGAGAATGGAGGAGAAGGTTGAGGAGGAGGAGGAGGAGGAGGAGGAGGAGGAGGAGGAGGAGGAGGAGGAGGAGGAGGAGGAGGAGGAGGAGGAGGAGGAGGAGGAGGAGGAAGTGGAGGAGGAGGAGGAGGAGGAGGAGGTGGAGGAGGAGGAGGTGGAGGAGGAGGTGGTGGAGGAGGAGGAGGTGGAGGAGGAGGAGGTGGAGGAGGAGGAGGTGGAGGAGGAGGAGGTGGAGGAGGAGGAGGTGGAGGAGGAGGAGGTGGAGGAGGAGGTGGAGGAGGAGGAGGTGGAGGAGGAGGAGGTGGAGGAGGAGGAGGAGGTGGAGGAGGAGGAGGTGGAGGAGGAGGAGGTGGAGGAGGAGGAGGTGGAGGAGGAGGAGGTGGAGGAGGAGGAGGTGGAGGAGGAGGAGGTGGAGGAGGAGGAGGAGGTGGAGGAGGAGGAGGTGGAGGAGGAGGAGGTGGAGGAGGAGGAGGTGGAGGAGGAGGAGGTGGAGGAGGAGGAGGTGGAGGAGGGGGGTAAAGAAGAGGAAGCGGAAGAAGGGGAGGGGGAGGAGAGAAAGGAAAAGGAAGAAGTAGAGGAGGGGGAAATGGGAGTTGGTGGTTTGCGTGATAGTGTGAGTCTGGTAGGAGTGGACGAGCTGATGATGCTGATGGAGGAGGAGGAGGAGGAGGAGGAGAAGCACGAAGAGAAGGAGCTGGTGTGCCCAGAAGAAGACGGAGAGAAAACTGAAGTAGAGGCAAGGGAGGCGGAGAGAGGGCCGGAGGGAGCAGAGGAGGTGGAGCAAGAGGCGGTTCTGGAGGGGGTGGAAGAGGAGGAGAATACCATTGTTGCTGAAGGTTTTGACGAGGAGGGTGCATGTGCGGCTGACATTCCAGCCAGCCTTGCTGCAGCCGGTGTTGCTGCTGCCATCACCTATGCCGCCAGTGCTACTCCTGACGCTGCTGCTGCGCCCCCTGCATCTCTTGTTGCTGCTGCTGCCGCCGTCGCTGTTGTGGAGAAAGCAGGCGAGGTGGGAGAGGAGAAGGCGGAGGAAATGGTGGAGGAGGGCGAGGAGGAGAAGGTGGTTGCAGAGGGGATGGAAACAGCCGAGGTAACACGAGTGGAGAAGGAGGCGAGTGAGGAGGAGGGTGTGCAGGGAGAGCAGGGAGAGCAGGGAGAGATGCTACCATCGCAGGCTGATGAAGCCTCTTTGGCAGTGGAGAAAGCAGTGGCGGAAAAATGTTCAATCGCCACTACCACTGCTGCAGAAAAGAAGGAAACGAGGGTGGAGGCAAGGGAGGAAGCAAAGGAGGAAACAAAGGAGGAGGAAAAAGCCCAAGGAGCAGAAGCCCAGGGGAAGGAAACTGGAGAGGAGGAGGAAGGGAGGAAGCAAGGGTGGGAGGCATCAGGAAGTGTATGGGATGATGAGGATCTGGAGAGCGGTGATGGGCATCTGAGCGACGTACTGGGGCCCATGAGCCCGCCCTCCCACCCCACGTCTCTGCCCACTTCGTGCTTCACGTCGCCCCCCTCTCGCCACGCGGTCTTCCCCACTGATCGGCTTCCTGGTGGCAGCTGCAGCTTCTCAGGCCGAACCAAGCACGGTGCGGCTGCCGCTCCTGCTGCTGCTGGTGGTGCTGTGCCTGGTGCATCGGCTGGGAAGGATGCGGCAGCAGCGATGGACGAGGAGCAGCGGAGGAGGGCAGAGGAGGCGGAGGACGAGGCGGCATGGGAGGCACTCATACAGAGCGAGATGGACTGGGAGGTGCTGTATGGGGGGTACCTCACAGGAGGGAGTGCGTCGGGCAGTGTGTGCAGCAGCAGGCGCGGCGTCATTGCAGCAGCGATTGCTGCAGGAGGTGGGAAGGGGCGAGCCCTGATGGATAGCTGCATGCGCAGCAGTGGAGGCAGCACCACGAGCAGCATCGCTGCAGCGGTGGCTGTTCTTGCTGCTGCTAGAAGATCAGCCGCTTCGGCTGGTGCTGCTGGTCCTGCTGCTGCTGCTTCTGTCGCTTCTGGTGCTCGTGCCACTCCGTCTGGAGCTGCTTCTGGTGCTCGTGCCACTGGCTTTGGGGCTGGTGCTGGTGCCGGCACGGGCGCTGACGTTGGAGTTGGCATTGGCGCAGGTGGTGCTGACGGCATGGATTGTGGCGCCAGTGAGTGTGGCAGCAGCATCAACTGGCAGCAATTCGACACGGCCAGTATGTACGAGTATGAGCAGCAGCAGCAGCACAAGAGCCCTCTAGTACTGGCAGCTGCAGCTGCCAAGTCTGCTGTGGAAGCTGCCAAGGCAGCAGGAGGAAGAGTAGCAGGTGGTGGTGCTGGAGCCAGAGGAGCAGGCGCCAAGGCAGGCGTGAGAACCCAGCAGCAGCAGCAGTTTCCCCGCTCTAGCAGTGCGGATCGAGCAAGCATCCGGCAGAGAGCCAACCCGCATCAGCAGCAGCAGCAGCCTTTCTCCTCGCCCAGCCGTGTGCATTCCAACGGCAGCGCCAGCAGCGGCAGCACCATGAGCGGTGTCAGCGGGTCGGGATACAGGCAAGGCAGCTACAGCATCAACAACACCACCACTAGGGGCAACACCGTGGGCAGCAGCGGCAGCAGTAGCACACGGGCGTCGCCTGTCCGTCTGGGTGCAACCCGGGGGGGTACTGCCTCTCTCTCTGCCCGCCACTACCCAGCTTCTGCTGCTGGGTCCCCCCTCCTCTCCTCCTCCGCCCGCACGTCCCCCAGACATTCGGGATCTGCGACCGCAGCTGGTGGGGCTGGATACTCACGCGGGTCGCCATCCCTCACCCCCTCCCGCTCCCTCACCTCCTCATCGCCAGTCTCGGCAGCAGCGTCTGCTGCAGCAGGGCGCAGGGGGGCCAGCGCAGGAAGGGTGCGGCAGCAGCCGCAGAGTGCAGCGAGCTGGAGGACAGCAGCGGCAGCAGCAAAGGCAGCAGCCATGGCTGCAGCGGTGGCTGCTGGGAAGGCGGATATGCTGATGATGCTGGAACCAGCAGAGGAGAGCGCCAACAACAGCTCGGCTTACTACCCCGACAGTGCTGCTACTGCTAGCCTTGCAGCAGACGCTGCTTCTGCTGGTACTACACCTACTGCCGGTGTTGCTTCTGCCGCTGCTTCCTTCTCTGCTGCTGGCGATGCTGCTTCGGATGTTGATGCGTTCGAGACCTCGTCTGTGGCGTCGGCAGCTACGTCAACGTTCAACGCGGCGACGTCTGCCGGCGCGTTCATGGACTTTGGGGCAGGCAGGCGGCGCCCTGACCTCCGCATTGACACCACCAGCTGCAGCCTTGAGCAGCTGCAGCAGCAGCAGCAGCAGCAACAGGCCGGGGGAGCAGTCTCAGTGCCAGCAGGAGGAGCAGCAGGGGCGAAGGGACGGCCCAGGGCAGCAGATTCTGGGGGGCTGTGGCCGTGGGAGGATGCGGGTCCAGGGATGGAGGCACTATTGGGAATGGAGGCTGAGGAGAAAGGGTTCCTATTGGTTGAGCCCTTGTCCCTCTATGGCTGCAAGACTGCCCCTGCTACGGCTGCTCTGCATGCCTCTGCTACGCAACCGTGCAACCAGAAGCAGCAGCAGCGGCAGCTTTCTATGTCGCAGGTTTCACCGAGAATCGGCCGTGGATCATCAGCATTTGTGGGGGCGCATTCGCTCTCTGCTGCTGCTTCTCCAAGGTCCGCCACTGCTGCCGCTGCCGCTGCTGCTGGTGGGTTTGGAAGCAGTGGTGGCATCGGCAGTGGTGGCATTGGCAGCGGCGGGATTTCCTCTGCGGCCAGCATTGCTGCGGCCATGTCCCCTCGTGCAGCCAGTGTGTGTGGCAGCAGCACTGCTTTCCTCAACCCTGCCACTGCCTCTGGTCTGATCAGCCCTAGGTCGACGGGTATGCTCAGCCCTCGTGCCAGCCTCACCCAATCCCGCTCCTTCTCTCACTCATACCACCACCACCCGTTTGCCGCCCCTCCTCCTGGTATTGACGACCCTGCTGGTACCATGCAGGCGGTTGCAGCAGCAGCTGCTGCTGCCACTGCAGTGGCGGCTGCTGCTGCAGCTGCAGGCCCCAAGGCAGGGTACGGTGGAGCAAGGACCGGGGGAGCAGGAAGAGGAACTGGGTTGAATGGGCTTGGTCGCTCACCTGTTCGGGGAGCAGGTGTGGGACGAGCAGGACTGGGTGCTGGTAGTAGCAGTGGTGTGGGAATGATGGCTGATGAGAGGAGGCGGGCGTCACCGGTGCCTGGGGGGGGAGGTAGGGGACGTGGAGTGGTTGGAGGAGGCGCAGGCGCCAGCTCACCTTCCCTTGCATCCAGGTCAACATCGTCCATGCATGCTCACTCCGCATCCCCGCACGGGGTTCGTGGTAGAGTTGGTGGTGGCGCTGGAGGTGCAGGGTTTGCAAGCAGCAGCAGCGTCGGCGGCGGCGGCAGTGCGTGGGCCGCCAAGCCTCCCAGCCCGCATAGTCCCAGCCCGGGAGACAGACTTCCGTGGGGGGGAGCACCAGGTGGGACAGCAGGCGCAATGGGCCGTGGACGTGGTTCACCAAGGCCAGGTAAGACATGCGGGGAATGAGTGGGGGGGGGGGGGGGGGGGGGGGTTGAGAGAGGGAGATGCTGCAGTGAGAGTCATGATCGCATTTGTTGACTTGTTGTCTTTTTATCTGGGCTATGCTGCTATGTACTTATGAAACCCATAAAATCCCTCCATTGCCCTTGACGAATATACGGTAGTTTGCAACATTGTTCCCCTATACATCATGCACCATACTACCCCCCTCCCTTGCTCAACAGGAAGGAAACTATCTGCTCCCACCACATCATCAAGATTGATTTAGTTTGGTTCGTGCACCACTCATGTTTTTACTTGCCGCTGGGAAACCCCCATAATATCTAGGTTAGTTGCTGTCAAACTGTTAGTAAATAAATGTTTAATCATTTATCAATATTCGTAGGGGTTAGAAAAGGGTTCGAAGGTTTACCGCTCGAATGTTAGAGGTGGATATACGCATATTCGTTACCTCGCGAGCAGCTCGTGATTCCGCGCCTCGAGCCTTGAAATTTTTTATCAGCAGCATACACATGGCACATAAGACAATTCATTCGTGAAAACTACTCACTAGAAAGGGCGGCCATTTTCAGGTGCATGCAACTTAGTCGAGGCGCGCTATTCAGGTGCATGCCAGGTTGCGTACACTATTCTCAGGTTAAACTTTATGTCTCTCGTAGTTTCACACGCTGTTCAAGATTCGATTTAAATTGGCACAAAAGGTCTGAAATAGAGGCAATTTCGGGCTACACAAATCGGGGTCGGAATGGTTGGCTCTCGATGATGCATTTTCTGACGTCACTCAGGGCAATGATTGCATTTCTGCCCAATTTCTACGCAAATCTTTGCTTCGCACCAACTCTTTTCGAACGAATTGTAATGGTAAATCGTTTGTACTCTTGGCGCAGGTGGCGGACGCTTCGCGGGTCAAACCAGCAAACCCTAGCGGGACGTGCATTCTTTGGAAAGGGTAATACGAAACACGAGAAATATGCCCGAGTGGGAGTTACCCCTACGGCTATTAAGGATATATCGTACGTTACATGTATATTTTATGACGCGTAATTAACGCCATGGCACACCACCTTTTCCAATATACATGTACGGCAAAACATTTTTTGGTAGAGGCAATAATTTACAAGCACTCACGAACGGTTTGCTGATTTGCCATGCGCAGCGTCCGTCATCTGCGTCAATAGTACAACAGATCTAGCATTAGATTCGTTCGAAAAGAGTTGGTGCGATGCAAAAGTTTGCGTAGAAATTGGGCAGAAATGCAATCATTGCACTGAGTGACGTCAGAAAATGCTGCATCGAGAGCCAACCATTCCGATCCCGATTTGCGTAGCCCGAAATTGCATCTATTTCAGACATTTTGTGCCAAATTTAATCGAATCTTGAACAACGCATGCAATTACGAGTGACATAGTTTAACCTGAGAAAAGTGTACGCAACCTGGCATGCACCTGAATAGCGCGCCTCGACTAAGTTGCATGCACCTGAAAATGGCCGCTAGAAGGGGAAAGCATCCGACACAGTGACGGACATACATGTGACGCAGTTCGCCGGCACGACGATTGAGCGATGGTCGACGGTGTGCGTCGCCCAGGGGCCGGGGCGAACGGGTCCGTGGACGGCCCGTCCGGCCGTTGCAATATTCACTGTTGAAGTGCCGCCGTGCGATTTCGCTGTGTCGAACCTGGTTTCCCGCCAAATATGGAGTTCCTTGCTGGTTTGTTTGCCACTGGCAGTCAGTTACCCCAACTATCGGTTCCTAACGAACAGGACCAGTCTACGCAACGATTTCGTCGATCCCTGTCCCTCATCGCATATGCAGTACGCTGCCGTAAAGTGGGGTGACTCTCGCAAAAGACAAGTCCTCTCCCCGTGGCTACTACCATCATAGGCATTTCTACTAGTGGTATGACGGCCGTGCCTCCTTCCTGTCGCACCCGCGAGGGCTTTAAGAGCCCCCTTACTATGCCCTTTTTGCACCGACAGTCACCGCCGCCAGGCTTCTGGGCGGCGGCTTTCTCGCGCCGCGGCGCCCTCCCGCGTCTGCTCGTGCCGCTCCTGCTCCTCTCTCTCAGCGTCTTGCGGATCCACGCACGCCTCGGCGCGGGGAGCAAGGGCGCGGTGGAGTCGATTGCGGAGTGGAGGCGGCGATCAGCGGAAGCGGGCGCGCACTTCTTCCCCCCGCAGCGCGCGGAAAACGCCCCCAGCAGGAAGGAGCTGCACCGCCGGATCCTCGGAGTGAGAGGGTGGGGCGTGAGGGGAGCGGGGGTGTAACGTATTACCCTAACTACCGAGCTAACAACCATCGATCTCTCTCTAAGTCAATTGTTGAGAACTTCTCTCGACAAAGGAAGAGTTGGAGAAGATGGTTGAGTTGGTTGGGATGAAACTTGGTTTGGGTTTGCCAAGCCTCAACTTTGGAGGTTTGGAACATTTCCAACTCAACCAAGAGAATGTTGAAGGTTGGAATTCCAACCAATCAGAAACTGCCAAACAAGTGTTACAATCTACTCTATCCTAAACACAACCATTGAATGGTTCTAAGTTGGGTTTTCCAACCCAACACAATTGCCACATAGGCTCCAAGCCTAGGAACCATCCCACCATGGAAACCATGGTTGGGATAGTTCCCCAAGGGGTGTATTGAGGGGGTCTGAGCTAAGCAAGCTCATTCTCAACCTCCCACTCCAACTAAACAATTGGAAATGGGATTGTTTTGCCAAAGTCATTGAGAGCTCTCTCACGAGCCTTCCTACACAATTCTCTCAAGCCTTTTCAACAACTCCTTCAAGAAGATTGACACCTCCAAGGCTATTGGGAGCTAGTTAGAGCTTCAACTTGTATTGAGATTTATTATAAAAGCATTGTAACTCCATTATAATAGCCTTGGGTGTTACAGGGGGCGTTGCGGCTCGATCATTCTAATGTCGAATCACGATCTGCCTGTCTCTTACACTCTGCGGGAGATGCGGCGACAGTAGTATACGAGACAGCACGTCATAATGACGCTACTATTGCATAGCATCGAGTAGACAGATATGATGGGGCGCTGCCATTCGCTCTTTGCGATAGACGTGCACCAACGAGTCCCCTCATGAAGTCCATGACCCCAACTTTCGCCCCGTGCCATGTGCAGGGCGTAGGGGCGGCTTGAAGGGCAAAGGGAAGTCACAACGGGCAGCCAAGGTGAGAGACCGCTCACGAGGCGACTGCCGCTACTAGCATAGCACTCGTGAAATGTGGTCTCAGGCAGTCGTTCATGCCACGGTGGTACTTGGCAGGTGACGGGTGACATTTGGCCTTGTTGCTCTCCATGGCTCCCAGGTCATCTTCTGGTCCCGTCCCAGGTCTCTCAACTGCCATCGGCTTTCCCCCTATGGTCTTGTCAAATCGCCTGTCAAACAAACATCCCGCGGTCCTCCTGCCTCTGCTTCTAACCCGGAGTCCTGCTGTTTGCGTCTCCGGTTGTGTATGGTGCTTCCCACCTTGCTGCCTGCTTGCCTGCGTGCTTGCCTGCGTGAGTCCAGGCAACGGAGTATCTGCCAGTGTTGCAGTATGACAGCACGCTACTCGCCAAGACCAACGGCACCCTGGGCAACACCATGGTCAACTACAGCACCTACCTCGACGACACAAGCTGGTTTTTGAGAATTCTGAAAAACCACCTTGACGACACAATCCGCCTCCCGTACACGCCGCACCGTGCCTCGCATGTTACTCGCTGCATGCCGCTCCCTGCACACGTATATGCTGCTGCGCATCGCTCGTCCCTGTTCTCACCTCCAAGCATTGGTCTCCCATGCGGCTCCACCCATATCCCTAAACATTAAACCTCAAACCCCTTGCATCCTCCACACCGCCTGCAGCAACTCCCTCTCTCCCCTCTCGGGCACCCATCTTCCCATATCCCATCCCTTCACAAGTGCCATACCTTTCCATTTCCCTTCTCTCCCCTCTCACCCGCTCCCCGTTCTTCCGCCATCCTCCGCAACCTTTCTCCCCTTTCCCCTCCCCTTCTCCCCCCCGTTCCTCCCCTCTCATCATCCCCTCTCCTCCCCCCCACAGCAACGGGCACATCTCTCATCGCTCCCATCCACCAGCGTGTATCCGTACTATGTGGCACTCAAGCTGGGGTCGCAGAAGCAGGAGTTCAGCATGGCGCTCAACGCGCAGCTGCGCCACACCTGCATGCCCTGCGACTGCCTGCACTGCGCCTCCTCGCGCAAGGGGTGAGAGCGCTGCCGCCCACCCACGCCTAAGGGGGAGGGCAAGGGAAAGGAGAGGGTGGTGGCGGGTCTGGGACGCTGGGGCAGTGGGAGTGAGCGAGAGCGAGAGAATTCACTCTTGTTTGCACCCCCACCTTGAAGTACGTACTCTGACGAATCCCATTCGGCCTGCAAAAGCCAAACGTCTCCGCCCATCACTTCCTTTTTTTATGGGATTCAGCTTCCTTTTCGTGCCTCACTTTTCCCGCTCTCCTCCCCGTCCCTGCCCACCAACCCATCCCCTTGCTTCCCTCCCTTTGCTTCCCTCCCATTGCTTCCCTCCCCTTGCTCCCTCTCTCTCGCCCCGCAGACGGCCAGCAGCAAGCCATTCAGCACCCTCTCTTCCACAACCCTCCAGTGCATCTCCTGCGCCGATCAGCGCTGCCAGGGGGGCGTTGAATCCAGCTACTATGGCTGCAACACGCAAGGGCTTCCCAACTACCTCAACTTCACGGGCGTGCTGCCTGGGGACGACGCTCTCTGCGTGTTTGATGTGTATGCAGAGAGTTATGATTATTCTGAAGCGGACACTGTTGCGGATTCGTTTCTCGAGTCCGCGGGGCATGTGGTGGAGGATACTGTTTACCTCACTGCACCTGGTGATACTGAAGCCCACCGATCCATCATTTTTGGGTGGGTCTCCATTGAGTGTGCACACTCCTTCCCGTGGTTCCTTTCTCACTCTCTCCCATGGTTCCTTTCTCACTCTTTCCCATGTCTCCTTTCTCACTCTTTCCCATGGTTCCTTTCTCACTCTCTCCCGTGGTTCTTCTCTGAATTTCTTTCTCTTTTCCGATCTCTCTGTCAGCTGTTCACCCCCTCCCGCGCGCTGCCTCTCACTCCTTCTCTCTCCCAACCCCCACTGCCTTCCAGCTGTGGCGTGAACCAGCAGGGCTACTGGGGAATGCAGGGGAGGTCCACTGGCTCATGGACAGCAGGCGGCGTGCTGGGGTTGGCGCAGGGCAGTCCCTTCCTGGAGCAGCTCACTGCCGGCACCAACTCCTTCGCCGTGTGTTTGGACGAGCCCACACCCACGAATAAGACCAGCTGGGACGGCAAGGTGCAGCAGCACACGGGCAGCAGCCATCCCACCATCGGTGCTGTCGGCCTCCCTGCTGGCGCCAGCTACTCCACCTTGTAATTTCCCTGCTGATCCACGCCCTCCCTTGCTCTCTCTTTCTCTCGCTTCCCACCTGCTGCCTCGCTCTCTTTGTTTCCCTGCATGCGCACACTCCCTTACTCTCATTCTTCCCACTCGCATCCCAGAGTCGAAAGATGGCTTCTGGCTCCTTCACCTGCGCCTCTCGTCCCTCCCGTCTTTACCTTTCACCCGTCTCCCTTCCCGCCTGCTGCCGCCTACCGCTGCCCCCATTCTGCTTCTATTACTGCTGTTGTCGTATCTATCCATCATCCGCGCCCTCCCTCCCTTCGTATACAACCCCCCTCTCCCTTATGCAATCGCCCCCCACAGATCATATCCAACCGGCCTGCCCTACAGCCGCATCACGCTCACCACGGCCACGCGCACCCTCAACATAACGGACGATCCAGCCAACATAGACCTCAACAAAACCTCCTTCATGCCGGCCGATGCCTCCGAGGATGACGTTCCGGGCTTCTTCTTCCTGCCCGAGTCCTTCGTGCATCTCATCCGCCTGCCTCTCTTCATAAGCCTCTGGTCTGCTGTACGTTCCTACTCCTCAGCCATGCTTTCTTCCTTTCCGCTTGCATCAGCCTCTCTCCGCCGCTGTTGTTCTCTGCCTGCCTGTCTGATGGTGTTGCTGAGCCGACCCGGGACCTGGGCAATCTGAGCGTGTGAGTAGAGCATACATGATTCTCGTGGGCAATCTGCTACTATACATATTGTGTTGTGAGCTTTCTCGTGCTGCCAGTACTGGGATGATCTCGCTCTGATTGGATTAGCAGCTAAGAGCAACCCACACACCATAGGCCTCAGGCCTTGGTTCAAAGCGAAAGCAAAAGTTGAAGCAGATTGCAACCAATCATGGACTTGTTCCTTGCCGCTCAAATCACGGGCACGGGAACGGGTGCCATTATTGAGCTTGTAAAAGCAGTCATGTTTTGTTTTATAAGGTGGCTTGAAATTGGCCTCGCTCCAGACTTCTTAACCCTAAACCCTTGCCAAAGCAACAGGCCTTGCCAAAGCTGCCCATCTCAAGCTGCTCATGTGCCTGGTTATTTATGCACGTATTCTTCTCTAATTGCACCCTCCTACCCATGTGTCCATGTGCATGTTTGTAGCTCCAAAACATGACAGGGCATGAACTTGCGTTTTCTGTACTTGAAAATGACGAGTTTCGGCTTTTATGCTTGGAGTGCGTTTCCAACCTTTCAACATGTCTTGCTCATCTTCCCCACAAATTCCACCAACCCATTGTCAGTCCACCATTTCTCTCATGTCAATCCTTCCAAGCGCCTTCTTCCTCCATGCACATACCACCACACTGCAACGCACCAGCTCTCTGCTCCCTCCCTGTCATGCGGCCATTGATTCGAATGGAGTATAAAAACACGCTGCTACAAGGCAAGCAATACTGATCCTAAACCCTCTGACCCCTCTCTCGTCCGTCCTCTGACCCCTCTTTGTTTCCCTTTCCCCCGTCACTCGCACAACAATGCTCCTCGTGCAGGAACAAGAACAAGGAGGAGGATCCGTTCAGCACCTTCCCCACCATCGACATTGCTTTCCTCTCTCCAGACGACAGCAGCGCCACCTCCCACTTCTATCTCAAGCCGCGCAAGTACCTCGCCCAGGTATCTCATTATGCCTGCCCCCACTCATTACCATGCCTGCCCCTCCCGTCCTCCCATCCATGTTCAATACTTGATTCTCACGCTATTTTTTCTCTAGTTTCGAGAGGCCTCAGATTTTCCTTTCCGCTTCCTTGTTCTTCTCTCTTCTCCCTTCCCTCCTCCCTCCTCTCTCCTCTCTCCCATCTCAACACACATCACGTGGTGGGGTTATCCCTGTGCTTCGTGCTCCACTCTGCCATGCCATCCCAGCCCCCCTTCACCCGAGTCTCGTTGCCAGAACGCTTGCTGAGTCGCTGGATCTCTGAGTACCACTTGGGCAAGTTGAGACCCCCCACGTGCCACTCATTAAGGCTCTTCCCCAATCCCATGCGCCCCTACAGGTTTCGGCTTCTCGATACTGCGTCTTGGTCACCTATTTTAATCCCAAGAATAACTACGCCAGTTACATTGGAGGTAATGGGTTGGGCTCATGCGCGCTCTCTTCTCTGGCTTCCCTTTTGCCAGCACCTTCCTTCCCCTTTCCCACCCATCACTCCTCGCAACACGCCTATGCATGCAACCTACTAGTTTGAGCAAACATAGACTGGATGGCTGCGCTGAACTCGACAGGCTTAATTCTGGAGCCCCCACGTACAGAACGCCAGGTGGTCCATCACACCAGTCCTTACCTTATCTCCATGCTCCACTCCATGGTTGCCATGCTCCACTGTTTTTCCCTTGCTACCTTCTCATTCCGCCACCCCACACGTTCTCCCTTTCCGCTGCCCTCCTCTGCGGGTGCATCGTGCATGTGGTGGTGGCGCTGAGCAGAGCCGGGGCTGTTCAACAAGTATCTCTTTTTCAACTACACCAACAACTCTGTCGGATGGCTTCAAGCTCCTCAATGTAAGCTGCCGTTCACCTTGCCTACAACGCCTGCCCTGCCCTGCCGCTACGCCACTCCACCACATGTAGCTGCCCCTTGAACCTTTCGTCCTGTGTACATTCATTAACACTGCTTGCCGTGCACATCAAGCACCTGCTACTGCTGTCGCTGTGGTGTTCCATTTCAAGCAGGTACGTCCTTGCAACAGCGTTTGCACTCCCACCAAGTGCTTTGATTTTATCTGCGCAGAACAGTCATATCCAAAACCTGTGGGGTTGCTTGTTTGCTTGCTTGCATGCAACATATTGGGAGTGCATGCTCGCTATCTCAAGATCTGCCACCTCCACCACTACTCAAATCTGCCAATTGTTGAACTTTCTTTTGCCATGTGCTTCCTGCTCTCCCACCTCACTCACCTCGCACAACTTTCTGTCGATTCCCTCTCCTCTCCTCTCCTCTCCTCCCCTCCCCTCCCCCCACTTCCCTTCCCCCTCATCCCAACAGGTGGAGCTGAGCCCCTACTGCCTCCACCTTCTCCGCCTCCCTCAGGGGGGCACCTCTTCCAAAGGGGCCACGCGCTCCCTCTCCCTGGTGGCGGCAGCAGTGGGTGTCGTCGCCACTTCCACTGCCCTACTTGCTCTCGCTCTCCTCTAGAGCCTGCATTCATCCTGCAGCGCTTCAAGCCTGAGTCGACTCAAGAGCATGCACTCTTGTATTGTACTTTGTCCCTGCCCTGCTCGTGGGAGCTGACTTGTGAGAGTGCTAGCGTTGGAACTACTGTAAGCTGATTGAGTAACGGATTTGTTTAGAGGCATAGTGGAACACTTCCAAATGTTCTCTATAAAAGAAGATACTGGACTAATATAGATTCCAAAAAAGGTCCTCGGATCCTGTAGCTAACAAAATCAGGTTGGACATTTTTAGGGTTGAAGTTCTTGTATTAGAGTAGGCGGAGAGAAATTATGGAGAAACGTTGGACTACCGTAGCAGCTTCAGAATTTTGTCCCAAGAATATCAAGCCAAGCAAAACCAGCATACGGGTATGTATAGCATATTCGTTAAGCTTGTCTAATTTGTAGACAGCGATAAATTGGAAGTGCAGGAGCCTAGAGCGTTTGCTATTGTAGAATGTGCGTTTGTTTAGAAAGACACGTGGAGGGTCTATATGTTCCACGTCAGTTTAGCACGGGATCAACGCCCATGTTTATCGGATCTCCACGCGGGTTCCAAGCTTTCAATTGGCTGAACGAACTTTATTCGGCGTCAGTTTCCACGCATCTGTCGTTTTTGTTCTCCGCTCGAATTTACAAGATGGACGGCGATGGTGGACGTAGGTCTGGGATCGACGCTGTAAATTGCACGGTAACCCCTCAGTGGAATCGTGCAGCCACAACCGCAAGCACTCGAAGGTTTTGCGGAACCGTCTTTTGCCTTGTGGATCCGCCACGTGGCTCTGATTCACAAGGCATTGTTCGTGCCTGACGGCCTTCAAATCAAAGCTGACAACCATTGCTTTGATAAATAACGTCTCCATACCTTCTCAGTGAAGAATTGGGAGGAATTCAATCGGGCCAGTTCGATCTCATTTCCTGCATCTGGCGATTCTCACTTCACAAAAATGGCAGCCACCTCTGCCTCTCTTGCAGGTCAGGCTGTCCTCAATGGTGCAGCCCCTATTGATCTGCATCCAACTTCTGTGAAGAGCTCTTTTCTGCAGAGCGTTAAAGTTCTGGGATGTCCTCGGCCTGGAAGGCTTTCTGCCAAACCCATGAGATCTCCTGCTATGATTCGTAGTGTTGCGAGCGAGCCGAAACAAGCCAGCGAAGGTGATTTCCGCATACTCGCACACGTGGATTCTTTTCTGGATACTAGTCTCTCTCCAACCGTCCTTCCCATCTGGAGATCATGTATACGTAATTTCTTGTCTTAATCTTGTCTCGTAATATTGTTTTTGTTTCTGTTCTTTATGCAGTCCCTCCGGTGGCAAGCCCATTGGCCGATTCGTCCGATGTCCTTTCCGTTGCCTCCAGCGTGAAGTACCACAAAGATTTCACACCGCTCTACTCCCCGGCTGCGTCGTCCTCACCCCAAGCTGCATACGTAGCCACAGCACAGAGCATTCGTGACACTCTTATTGAACGGTGGAATGAGACCGCCGATCACTTCAACAAAACCAATGGGAAGGAGGTCGCCTACGTCTCGATGGAATTTCTGCAGGTCAGTTGTCTTGCTTGTGTTATTTACAGCATATATTTTTTTCAGCGTCTGATGGCCTTCGTTCGTACTGTCTAATTCAGGGCCGCGCTTTGATCAATGCGTTGGGTAATCTGGAGCTCACTGGTTCTTACGCGGATGCTCTGAAGAAGCTTGGAGTGTCGCTCGAGGACCTTGTTGAGCAGGTGTGACGGTAACCATCATTTATATTTGTAACGTCTTAGGGTTTTGGATTCGTATTGATTCCACATTTTCTATCTTCCAGGAGCCCAATGCTGCTCTGGGTAACGGTGGTCTTGGGCGTCTCGCCTCATGCTTCCTTGACTCAATTGCTACACTGAACTACCCTGGCTTTGGTTATGGCCTGAGGTATAAGTACGGCCTGTTCCGTCAAGAGATCACTGAGGACGGGCAAAAGGAGTACGCCGAGAATTGGCTGGAGGTGGGGTCGTATTTTTAACTTGATGCCTCCAATTTCAAAAATTTTTTTTTTTGTGTTATTAAGGTGGTTCTATTCTTTTTGCAGACCGAGTATCCGTGGGAGGTGGTCCGTCACGACATTCACTATCCTGTCAAGTTTTTTGGTCATGTCGAAGATGGTCCTGATGGCAGGAAGAAGTGGGTTGGAGGCGAGAACATGAAAGCCCTCGCCTACGACCTTCCTATTCCAGGATACAAGTATGTGCAGTCATTCCGCTGGTCTTGGCTGCGATCTTTGTAATTTCCGTATTTGTAACAGCGATTGTTACTTATCGTGGACAGGACCAAGAACACGATCAGCTTGCGCATGTGGTCGACTGAGATCCTGGCTTCTGACTTCGATTTGGCAGCATTCAACGCTGGCGAGCATGATCGCGCTGTTGCCGGACAAGCCAGTGCCGACAAGGTCAGCATTTTGCATAAAAATGTTAATTCTGTCAAGCGTACAGATGTTGGTGCTAACATAATTACTACTGCTCTACATACGAATCTCAGATCTGCGCGGTTCTCTACCCTGGGGACGGATCCTACGAGGGAAAGATGCTCCGTCTTAAGCAACAGTACCTCCTCTGCTCGGCCTCGCTCCAGGTAGCTTAAGTTTCCATTTTACAACGAGAGATTATTACCGGAAGGATTCCAAGTTAACGATCCTATCTCGGTCCGTCGTTCCTTGTTTCTTCAGGATATCCTTGCTCGTTTTGAGGCTAGGAACGGCCCGAATTGGCAGCTGCTGCCCCAGAAGGTAGCCCTGCAGATGAACGATACACATCCCACTCTCGCTGCTCCTGAGCTTATGAGGATATTGATCGACGAGAAGGGTCTCAGTTGGGACGAGGCCTGGAAGATTACTCAGGGGTATGTAATTCATTATACTGTGCGTAGCAGCTGTTGCTGACTAGGCTCGTCAATCGCACTGGAAACACTAACTGCTTGTTCGAAATGTTCAGGACTGTCGCCTACACCAATCACACCGTGCTTCCCGAGGCTCTGGAGAAGTGGTCCCAGGACCTGGTGAAGAAGTTGCTGCCGCGTCATTTCCAGATCATCCAGCGCATTGACGAGGAGGTGAGTGAACGTGCAAGCCTGTAGTATAATGTGTCCAAAGGAAGCAAGTGCAACAAATACAGTTTCCCAGCAGTCTATTAACGTGCGACTGCTGTTTGAAACCATCAACGAACCGTAATTGCAAATCAACCTTACCTGCACGTTTACCCATGTTAACATCCCAACAGTTCATTGATCTCGTGGTGAAGACTGTTGGTCTCGGAGACCTTCCGCTGCTGGTGAACAAGATTCAGAGCATGCGCATTCTTGACGGGTCTGATTTCCCCCCCAAAGTGAAGGCTCTTATCGAGGCAAAGCAGAAAGAGAACGAGGAAGCTGAAGCAGCTGCCGAGGCTGCAGCCAAAGCAGCTGCTGTGGCAAAGGCAGCTGAGGATGGTACTCACGTTGAGAAGGAACCGAAAAAGGCCAAGAAGGAGAAGGAAGAGCTGCCGTACGTAAAGGGGCCAGAGGTGGTGCGCATGGCCAACCTTTGTGTGATTGCTGGGCATGCTGTGAATGGTGTGGCAGAGATTCACAGTGACATTGTGAAGGACGAAGTCTTCAATGACTTTTACCAGGTGAGTCCTAGAGAAGTGTTAACTTTCTGCATGGTATACAGGTAGTCATTGTTCGTTGTAACATAGTATTTCGATTGTATGTTCCTTGCAGCTCTGGCCGGAGAAGTTCCAGAACAAGACCAATGGTGTAACTCCTCGCCGCTGGATGAAGTTCTGCAACCCTGAGCTCAGTGCAGTCATTACCAAGTGGCTGGGCTCTGATGACTGGGTCTTGAATGCCGACAAGCTTTCTGGCCTTGCTAAGGTATTTGTTTGGAGCTAGCGCATGTGCTTATTCAGTCTGCAGGTGTGGAATGTGTTGGTTCTTCAGTTTTCGTTGTGCTATACTGACAAGCTCGTTTTTCCTGCTTTTCTTTCAGTATGCTGACAACGTGGACCTTCAGAAGGAGTGGATTGCTGCCAAGCGTGCCAGGAAGGAGATATTGGCTGCATGGATCAAGGAGAAAACTGGTTATACGATTAACCCTGATGTCATGTTTGACATCCAGGTGAAGCGCATTCACGAGTACAAGCGACAGCTTCTCAACATCTTGGGAGTTGTGTACCGTTACAAGAAAATGAAGGAGATGTCCCCAGAGCAGCGCCGCGCGCACTTTGCTCCTCGTGCCGTGATTTTCGGTGGCAAGGCTTTTGCCACATACGTCCAGGCGAAGAGGATTGTGAAGTTCATCTGCGATGTGGCCAAGACTGTGAACAATGACCCTGAGATTGGTGACTTGCTCAAGGTGAGAAATTTGATACTTCACTATGAGCTTGCCAGGGATCCTCATTGGCTTAAGCAAACCTAACTGTGTACTGATTTTGCAGGTGGTATTTGTTCCTGACTACAATGTCAGCGTGGCAGAGGTTCTCATCCCAGCAAGTGAACTGTCCCAGCACATCAGGTCAGTTCTCTAATTCCTGACTTTGTCTATTTCGTTTGGCTCTGTGTGTGACCTTGTTTCAAAGTGCTTTTTTTTCTTTTCTTTTTCTTCCAGCACTGCTGGCATGGAGGCAAGTGGAACCAGCAACATGAAGTTTGCCATGAACGGTTGTCTCCTTATTGGCACTCTTGATGGTGCTAATGTTGAGATTCGTGAGGAGGTTGGAGAGGACAACTTCTTCCTCTTCGGTGCTCGTGCTGAAGAGATCGCAGGGCTGCGCATTCAGCGCGCTGAGGGCAAGGTAAGTGGATGTGCCTGAAATTCCTTTATATGGTAAGTGGTTATCGTGAGCCATCCTAATGCTAATCTACAACTGTTTGTGCAGTTTGTGCCGGACCCCCGGTTCGAGGAGGTGAAGGCATTTGTGCGATCAGGCGTCTTCGGCTCCTACAACTATGATGAGTTGATCGGTTCA